CAGCATAGTTTAAACCCTTATATAAAAAAACCCCTGATTTTTGTTGAAGCGAGAGTTAAGGCGTGGACTGTCCGGGCACCATTGCAGGTTTAACTGACTGAACTGACTTTCTAGTTTCCGACCTCAATTTCCCTTATTGCATTTGCGTTGTAGTGCATATGAATATAATTGAGTGCAATCACTCGTTGTAAGAGTGAAGGCATATAGAAACTATTTATCATTGAATACTGACTCTAACACGAGAACGTGAGTAAGGAAGCCTCGGGAAAATGCAAACCACTCTTGTGTAACCACAAGAAGACAACTTTCAGCCCCTTACAAGTAGTTTCCTTTCAAAACACAGGTGTGAAAGCCCATATTTGTGGCAGTGGGCGTGGATGTCATTTTTATAAAGCCGGAAAAAAATCTTAATATTTTAAAGGAAGACCTAATTTGCCCTTCTTTCATATATTTCACTCACGTCCAACATTTCATTGTTTACTTTTAGTCGAAAAATCCATTAACGACCAGGCACGTCCACGATATTTGGTCTTATAAATGGATTATAAGTCTTCTTCGCTTTGTAAAACACATGATCTCCTAAACGTTTTATTACGGGGAATGGAGGGGGTAAGTGTGAAAGTTTAACAAAACGAAAAAGAGATGAACTTTGGATGCTTAAAGAAAAAAATGTTGAAAAGAAAACGTTAGAATTGGAGGCTTTGGTGACCGTTGCGACGGATGCCACTAACTCAATAGTTCAGTCAGTCATTCGATTCAAGTTAAGGAAACGATATTCTTCGCACAGCCTTGTTAGCACTCATCGCTCGATGGCCTTAGATGAATCTTTAATTCGACAAGTTGAATATAAGATAGTTCACCAACAAGCCTACAATGAAAAATAGCATGAATAGTAGCTCGCAAGGCAATTCGAAAGGTGAACTTGAAAAGTAGGTGGACTTAAAGCAGCAGTATCCCGTCAGTCAATGGACTACAGGGACTGACTTTTCATTTAACCCGCTTTAAAAACTGATGCATAGAAACTTTGTTTTGAAAGTACTGATATGCAAATGAAGTCTCTCCTCTTTGTGATCATGATCTATCTTGGTAATCTTGGCTTCTTCAACTGATATTTCGTTTTGAAGCGGATCACGGCACTTAAATAGTATAACTGAGGGAAAGATTGCTTGATTAAAAATGCTTAGCATTGTTGTTTCCGCGGCCACGTTGTAACGATTCAAATTTCTCTTTGAGATAATCAATCGAATGTACTACGACTTTTATAAGTCACCATATTTTCACTTTTTTTCATAAAAAACCCGTTACCTAATATTACGTTCAAGAAGACGCAAAATAAGACACAACTGCTAATAGCCTACCGGATTTTTTGGGTAACTTAAGTATGAGGAAATCACAAGTGGTAGAAGTCCTGCCATTGTATTTTTATTATGGATTATCACACCTAATAAACATTGTTCGAGTCCAAACATGAAGTGGGATTACTGTTGGAATTACATTTTAAACTTTTTAGAAACTATTGTGTACTTATGCTTTTATTAGAAAGAGGAAGCCTTGGCTTTTTCTACTTGGTCTACTTCTTGCACCGTCTTATTACTATCGGTATTTTGTTTTGTATCAGAAATAAGGAAAAACGCATGCACAAGCGAAACAAACACTGGCAATCTAGCATATTTTTGCCTTTAAGCGATTTGTTTTTCTGCAGCACTCAGCAGATGAGGTGTTTCCGGTGAAACAGCAAGGGACGTGACCAGCATAACTTTGTGATTTCCGCCTCATTCATCACCATCTTTTTAAAAGCTTCCGCTGATAAAATGACGTTGAGGGATGTTGTGTTATCGCACGTGGACCCAAAGAATTCAGATCAAGGGCCAATGGAAACACGCTTTTTAAATTCTTCGTACGAGCACAGGAGAACTTTCCCTCCCCCGGGGCACGATCTACAATTTCTAAAGGGATCGGAAGCACATTTGGCAGATGATGCGATAATCTGGTTAAAATTCATGATATTAGATGCGGGTATCTTCATCGATTTGTTTACTTTCCCGAATAAATACTTAGAGTATAGAAGTATCTAACTACAGTTAAGTCTATCCTGGGCGTTGCTCCAGGCTTGTTCATAAACACAGCCTGATATGCATGGTGGCTATTGATGTGTTTTCAAATGAAAAATATACCTGAACAGATACGATGAGGTGAAAAATAAGAATGAAAACTGCTTTCCAAGAATAGATGCATGAAAGAAACAAGTCGTTTCTCAAATTTAATACCCCTCAAATGTTCGTGATCCTGAATCAGTCCCACACGCGAGCGGGGCCATATTCTAGCGTGCCTACCCTGTTCCTTTTTGTAACACTCACGAATCACTCCTGTACATGTTCTGAGTCGAACTCCGGCAATATTATCGACAGATCTTCAAACAAACATTTTCGCTTGAGGCAGATTTTTTTACAACTCGGTTTATTTGAAGCATTTGGCTCATTTCTATTCCGCGCAACTTACTTCACCTCACCCTGTGGGTAAAATAATTTATTCTCCAAGAAAACCTTTTAAAACAACAGGCTAAAATGAGAAACTATGGAGACCGGCCAGACAGGGGTTGGCGGGGCGAACATTTATTACTCGTGACAGTTAACTGTCTGACCGCAGGTATAGTTATTCTTTTATTCTACCAGTTTAGCTGAGTAGTTCTTTATATTTATGTCTTGTTTTTATTCCCTTTTATTAAAAGATCATCTGAAATGGCTTTGCTTATCGCGCCTCTAGGGGAGCTGAACACCAAACTCCCGCGACAGGCGTAATCTCAGTAATATAGTGACATGAAAACCAGAAAATAGGAATTGGCAAACCATAAAAAAACAATAACAGTTAAGTCAAAACATCACGAATTTCTTGGAAGAGAACCTAAAGTTGGTTTACAAGGATTGTATCTGACTCACTTGCCTTGAGCTGGTTTTCGTGGTTAACCAAGAATTTCCGTCGCGGCCTGTCCGCATGTTGTCTGCGTGCAGCCCTGTCTAATTGGTTCCGCCCTCCTTCAGCCACGGTTTGGGGAAACTCTGTTCCTGTCATGGAAAGATCTCAGAGAGCAGCTTAGGCTGCTGTCCGCCTTTTCTCTTAAAACCTGTGCAGTTCTCACCGCGGCCAGCGGAATTGAAAACAATGTTACCTTCTTTACGCCCTCGTTTATCGCCGCTCGCCGCTCGCGTGCAAGGGTTACGCTCGGGGTAACTTTTAAAATTGAGAAGAAAAAGAAGAGACTGCTCGCAGACTTAGTCTCTAAGAGCAGCTTGACTTACGACCAGGCTTTTCCCTCTTCCTATTTGATCTGAGAAGGTGGCGGGTGGGGGTTGGGAAGGGGGGGGGGGGGGACAAAACCCCTCCTTCCCGCGGGGGGGGTATACACATCATAGAGGGCAGGCATGACCGCAAGCAACCTGTTTTTCCACGGGCGGTAAGTTACTTATTTATCCAGTTTTCCCCCCGTTTAATGCACCACTTTTTTAATCGTTTAATAGTTCTCACCGCGGCCAGCGGAATTGAAAACAATGTTACCTTCTTTACGCCCTCGTTTATCGCCGCTCGCCGCGCGCGTGCAAGGGTTACGCTCGGGGTAACTTTTAAAATTGAGAAGAAAAAGAAGAGACTGCTCGCAGACTTAAGTCTCTAAGAGCAGCTTGACTTACGACCAGGCTTTTCCCTCTTCCTATTTGATCTGAGAAGGTGGCGGGTGGGGGTTGGGAAGGGGGGGGGGGACAACACCTCTCCTTCCCGCGAGAGGAGTATACACATCATAGAGGGCATGCATGATCGCAAGCAACCTGTCTTTCCACGGGCGGTCAGTTACTGATTTATACAGTTTTCTCTCCGTTTAATGCACTACGTTTTTAATCGATTAACAAGTTCTAATTAGACGAATTTGCGAGTGCATGCTAAGTGTATTTTCCTTTTCTGTTCATTTGTTTGTTAAAGGTGACAAATTCAAAAAGTAATAACGAGATGATTAAGAAAATTGAAAACAACTTCGACTTCGTACATTTACGATCATTTACTTTGCGAAGATTTCCGCCGGGACGTTTTAGTTCTTTTTGTCAAAAATATCTGTCGGCCCTATACACCTTAATTTAAAGGGTTAGTTTTTTACATTCATTTCGCCAGGTTTCGTTCCATTTTTCTTTTATTTTCTCTTCTTTTTTTTAAGGAAGTGCACTCAGGGGCCCTGAAACTTGAACTACCCTTGATTTCGTAGCTCATTGAAGCCATTTGCGTTCTTTCCCAGGGAGAAATTAAATTATCGACAAATCGAACAAAAATCTCTCAGTCGTTCTCATACATAATCTTCTTTCTCTTGACTGAATCATACTAGCACGGCATAACCTATTGATGGAAAATAAAGAAAAAGTAAAACCTGGCTGATCGAGCCAAAAATTAAGCTCTGATCACAAAGAATATAATATTTATAGGAACATGTTCAATGAATAATTTATCAGCATATATTTTAACTTTCAACTAAACAGATGAATATGGAAAATAAAAGCTCTATAGTGCCATAGGCTTTGAAACGGAAATTAGGTTCGTTCGAAAAAGAAAACATTTTTCTTAGACCTCTCAGGCTATCAAAGAACCCCTTCAAAGTGCAAATCAACTCATGTAGCGCTTAAGTTGCATATTTTTCCAAACATGAAGGGAGGCGATCTAAAAGTACGTACAAAAATGCCTCATGGAAAAAGAGGTTTGAAGTTTTACTGGCATTTTTAGTCCAAATATACAAATCCGTACACAGAAAAAACAACAATCGTTGTTTTTTGTTTTGATTGTTGTACGATTGGAAACAATCATTAATGAAAGAAATCCACCGCCAACCAATGAGCACGTTGGAAACACCGGAAACACGAAAACTGGCCACTCACAAAAGAGCATTTCCATGTAATTTTTGATTGACAGCCACCCTGCATAGTACATGCCATCTGATTTATGCACGACGCACGCGATTGGCCAAATCTCCGGTGTCCCTTTATTAGCTTCATTTATTGGTTGTGGTAATAGCGAGGAAGAGATGTCACATTTCATCTGTCAGCAAAAGAAATCAACATAGAGTCTTGTTTCCAACCTGAAAGGCTTTGTAGCCAAATGAAGTTGTAATTTTAGAACAGAATTCGAAGGCCAAATGTTCTTCTCTTTGCTCTTAGCATTGTGGATGACCTATGGCGTTGCGGGTAAGTAATGTCGAAACGTAGTTCGCCGCGTTGGCACTTGCATTACCCTTCTTGAATGTTTCTACTCGCAAGTCCGTGAGGTTCCTTCACTATTCCAACCTTGGTCATCCCCGGGTGGGGAAAATTGGCGGTTGCAACTGAAATAAGCAAACGTCGAGGAAACTCAATGGAGAAACAATTTCGCTGAAGCGTGAGAAGAGTTCGTGAACGGTAGCAATTGTTTTGAGAGCGAAGCAAGTGAAGCGCGGCAGCTGCTCATACAACATAGCGCTGCCACGAACTCCATTTGTGAGACGCACTTGAACGTTTACGTCCTTATAGTAAACTGACTGGATCGAATGGTGCTTTATGCTAATGCTCTTTTGAAAATTTTGTTCTGTTTTCCTTTGTTATGTCTATAGTTTCACTGTTTACGTTCCTTGGTGCAGAAAATTCAAAGCTAATGGCGAGCGAACTCTGCAAACTCTTCAACCGCAGAGATTTATATACAACAGCCGATTGCTCCATAAACCTGCAAATTACTGTCTGTGGACCTTTAAATAAAATCAAAAGGAAAGGTCACCTTTTCGTAATTCATTCGTGTACCATTTTTGTGATAAGTAAAGGAATTCTTTCCAAGTTACTGAACTATTTTCCATAGGGGGCTTTATGTTCCATGCTACGTGACACCTAGTAGTCTTAGTAGGAAGGCATCAAAACAACCCCAGCTTATGTTTTCCTCGATAACATTTGCTGCATCATTCCACCATTGTGTTGCTTGCTTCGTCTCACAGTAAGGGATTTAATTGTTAGCATTATTTCTTTCGCTAGCGTTTTCATTTGAACTAACTGCTGAAGCTATTTCATTTTCATGCAGGCTATGCTTACAATGCCTTCATACCCCTTGGTTTTGTCAAAGAACCTACAAACACGGTAGCTCGCAAGAATGAAGCCGTCAGGTTGCAATGCGAAGTACAGGGTTCCCCTCCTGCTACAAATTTTACGTGGTTAAAAAATGGAAAGGTGATCACAGTTAATGAGAGAGTGAAGATAGTATCCAGAGGAGCATTGCTCATAAATCCGGTACACACGCGAAAGTACAAACTCGATGTTGGAGAATACCAGTGCTTTGCTTCAAGTTCCAAATTCACAATAGTTAGCCGCAAAGTGCGTTTGGAAGTGGCCGGTAAGTCATGATTACAGTGCATGTTTCTGACTCATTGTGGTTATTTTCTGTTTCTAGCATTCTTAATGGCGTGATTTGAACAGCTCCAGTTTCGGGCAGATTACATCGTTGAACGCGAAGTTTGTATGTCATCTCCGCAACGCTTAAAATTCCTTTCTGAACATAGCGTTCTTCCGACTGCTTATGAAAATCTCGAAACGTACGATATTCAAAAACGGGAATCGTACGTTGGCTTTTGACACTTTCAACAGCGGTCAATTGAAAGGCGAAGTACAATTTTTCAATCGTGATTGCACATCAGCTGGCCAATTTCGGGTATTTACTTCGGTTCTTTTTTTTTCCTGTTGCTGATCACGCGATCGTTCTTTGCTTGCTTGTTCTCTCATTTTCATTTTCACTTTTGTAACGACGTTTCAATTATCTCTTTCTGACGAGCAGAGAGCAATTTGTTTAAAAACATGTTTACAATCTTTTAGTGACCCGAAATTTTAACCTTTCAGCGAAACGTCTTCGTGAAGCTTTGCTCAGCCTTAAAAAATTGTTAAAACATTGTAGATAACCTGGTCAATAATCGTGTTTTTCCAACACTTTGAATTCACTATCGTTTTATCGTATTATGGACAGCTTATTCGCCCAAACTACGGTTTTATCTGTCGTGGCTTTTCAAGTGTAAATATCGCGTTCGTTAACGTTAGGAGGAAGGACAAGAGGTTAAGCCTAAGTAAGCGTACACGCCTTCTAAACGAACGTAGCAATTGAATGTTTTAAGTGTATATTTAAGCTTATTTCTTGTCTTTCGTAATAAGTAATGCTTTAGCGAAAATCTTTCTATCGTGTTGGTGATTGATTCAAAATGATTTTTACAACTGCAATACTGCCTGTACTGCTGGAATTGATACAATTTTGTTGTCACGTCCGCCGATAGATAGCAGTAGGACAAGGTTGGAAACCTTCTAAATACGTACATGCCAAGAGTCGTTTTGACTCTCAACTGCAAATAACCTTTAAATACAACGTTTAGTCTTCTAACCAATTCACACCACGCTGTGTGTACCAACAACTCATAAACTCCTTAACTCGTTATGTTTTAAAACACCTTTGACCTGTTCTCTAAAAGAGTTTGTGCAAGTACAGAATTGAATGACCGTAGCGACTTTTTTTTTTTTCGCGTAACCTGACCTCGGAAACCCGCGCTAATATTAACATGTAACGAAAGAATAACAGTACTAAATAAAATATACCAGATTATCAAACACAAGAAAGAAACTGGGTATTTTTCGTCTCGTTCTAAACATGGCGGATATTGAAACGCCAAAGGCCAAGATTGCAGTGATTGGTCTTTTGTTCTATGGCCTATGGGAATCCACTATAACACAATAATCACGTGCTCATAAATATTATCCGCATACATGGGCAAATGTTGCGGGTTTGATTTAAAGTGATCATTTTGTTGTAAGATGTCTCTGTGATCAAATAAAGAAAACACACGGTACCTCACAATGTAGAACAAAACAAGTAGTGATTGTTCCATGCAATGGAATGAGTGCCTGAGAGTGCGGCATTTTTAGAACAACGTTGTGAATTCACCTTTTGATAGGCGTTACTGTTGGCACTTAGGAAAGTAAACAATGTTGCGTGTAGTTTACTAGGAACATTTTTTGTTTGTGGCTTTTATGGTATGTTATGTCTTCTTGTTTTTTTGTTATATTTATCCTGTTGGTAGAATGTGCTGATTTTTTTATTATTTAAACCTCTAAACAACAGGGGTTGTCATATGGTAAAATAAATAAGACTTATTGTAATGTAATTACTTTTTTTTTTTCTCTTTTATTGAATGTTGTTTATTTATGTTTAATGGTTATCTAATTTTCATTACTTTTTTGGAAAAAAGTACTGTAATATCTGTGTTTTTTTTATTTAGCCCGCATGTTTAGGCAGGAACGTTTATTTTGCCTTCTTCAAGGCATGTTTAATCTGAATGATAGCTATGATATATAAGCATAACATGTGACTCAAACAATCACTTTAAAATGGAACTGTAGAAGGATGAAACTTAATTTATATGATGTAACAATGTAACTTAACCTTTAATCGAGGCACATGATCTGGCACCCCAGGGGGAAGGGGACAGGCAGAGACTTAAAAAATTAAGTGTACCTCTAGAAAAATCCTGGCTATTCCCCTATGTAAGGTACATGTAGTTCTAACTTTTGAGGCTGGGAATGAAATCCTTTGGTATGACCATTCAAATAAAACCTCTCTAGCAGTACTTTCACGTGGTATTGTTAGTTTTTCTGCATTTTACTCAATAAATTGTAGATTTTTTGTCAATTATTTACTTTAGTCACTTCTGGGAGTGAAACTGCTAGATCGCCCTTTCAGTTTGCCCTTTTTTTGTACATGTAAATCGAAGGGAGAACTTGACTTTGGATCAGGTGTCACCTAGGGTGTAATTGTTTAAGTTTTGGAGAAATTTAACTTCTCAGAGTCACTCTTTAGTATCATTACCTTCTAATTACAGGTATCTCCAGGAAATTTCTCCAGGAGCCCAAAAATACAACAGTAAGAGTTGGATCAGTAGCAAGGTTTTCTTGTAAAGCACGTCATGATGTTCCACCTGCCAAAATAGCATGGGAGAAAGATGGAAGTCCCCTCAACTCATCTAGTAGACTGGTTATCTTGGATCAAGGAGTACTTCAAATTAAGAATGTTTTGAAATCTGATGAAGGAAACTACAGGTGTATTGCAAGCAATATTGCTAAAACAAGGTACAGCCAGGCTGCCATCCTCTCGGTGAAAACAGGTTTGTGTTAATTATTCACAATTTTGAAAAGAAACAGGGAAATTGTCTCTAATTGCAGCAGGGTGAACATCATTTCTGTTGTCAATGAGAGTATAGACCATGGAAAATTGATGTTGATATATATTTTTTTTACAAATGTACATGTACCATTGACAATGGGCATTGACAGCCCATTTCAGGTGAAGTGTCTTGAAAAAAAAAGCATGAGAAAGAGAGAAACAAAATTAATTGCACTGCAAAAATTATTCATTTCCATAGTCCATAATCTCATCCATAGTATTTTTACCAATCAGCGGACAGAAAATCACCCTGGTATTGCTAACATGTACATTGAGCCACAAGGGCACCATGCGTGGCGATGGCCTGCATTTTTTTAAGAAATCAAGCTCTAGTTTTTCATTGTTTCTGCATAAACTCTCTCAAAAAAGTCTTTAAAATTTTGAAGAAGGATATGGAACATTCTTGAAAAGTCCTTGAATTTTTGGTCAGAAAAAAGGTGAGAACCCCTGAATGGGTAAAAAGGGCCCAGGCTGGAGTAGCACTTTGCCCTGTAAAGCTATGAAAAGTAAAATATATCAGTTGTTCAGGGAAAGTGTATTTAGGTGATTCAACTCCAAGAATAACTCCAACTTACTCCCTTCATTGAAAGAATGTTTATTTGGACTTTCCGAAAATTCACCCAACAATAGCTGCCATACAGTAAAATTAAACTACACTCTGTTGTTTATGAGATTTTACATTTATTCTTGTCAACTTCATAACAAAGCACTTACATGTACTCTCTCAGACTTTGCCAACCAAATAGAAATTAAATACCAGCTAGAAAATTCTTTTTTGATTCCTTATTATGTAACAGGGTGCAAAGAAAGTCATTTTTACAGCTTGCCATTAGGGCAAACTGAAGCTAGCATTTACTAGTGCAGATATCATTTCAACTAGCCCCAAAAGCTTTTTGATGAGCCGAATTGATTTCACAGTTCTTCTATTATTCGAATTCGTCAAAAAACATCACTTGCCCTTTGGGCAAGTTAAAAACAGAATTCACTAGCCCAATAGCAAAATTCACCAGCTCTGAGCTATTGGACACTACTTTCTTTGCACGGCGTGTGATTATGTAATTTTTGTGAACTATAACAGTGTGATTTAAATAAAAAAATGAAAAAAAAAAAAGTAAAATATATGTAGATTTCATCTGTGGCATCGTAAGGAAGAAGGACTAGCACAGTCATATAGTGCATAACGTTCTGAGGTTGATTCCCAGGTGTGACCTCAAGTCCTTTTTCGATATCTTTCTGTATGTTTAGCTGTAAGTAGCTTAAATTTCTGTAAAACAGAGCACTGATGAAAAAACAGGAGTAAAATGAGTGCACCGTCGGCTTCAGGATGTTCAGTCTAATAAGTATCATAACCAGCTAAAGACCTATCATAAGGACCTTTTTTTCATCCTTAATAACTATTAAACCTTGTAGCATTAGTGAATTGGCTGTTTGATCAGAGAAAAACTCCTCAGTTACACATCTGCAATCATTATGCTATGAAAAAAAGTTAAAATGGAATAACCTTGCGTGATATTTAATTAATTGATTGCTCTTTGATACTGTTCTAGATCAGTATCAATAAAATGTTTCACTAAAATACAAGAACAAAGGGACTGGGGTAAACCAACCAATTATTGTCTAGAATATTAATTTATGGCTTATAATATTGGCTCATCTGAAAGATGCACAAATCAGTAATAGTTCTTACAGTTTATTTATTAACATTATGTGCAAAGTTTGACCTAAGTTACTGGAGATAACAGTGATTACATACAAAACTGCCTACTTCTTTATGAAGCTTTATTGATTGTTTATGTGAGTGCTGGTAGTAGTAATAATATTTGGTAATAGAAGAGTCAATATAATGATCACCCTTGTTACAGCAATCCAATATTATCTTTCTTTGAGCCTCAAAATATGTTTTCAAGCAGTTAGGAGTTGCTTATAATAGTTATTTTGCCAAATGTTTAACAGTTCTCTTGTAAAGTTATAAAACTGTGCAGTTCATCTGTGAATGAAGGTAGTTAATGTAGAAGTATAACAATGATCCCAAAAGAATCAGTCTGTAAAATGTTCATAGACCCCTCACATAGTTGTCATATTTTCTATTAACCCTTTAAGCCCCAATATCCACATACAAATTCTCCAAACTGATCTCTATACATTCTTAAAGAATAAGTTGAGAGAATTTGATGAAAGATCGAAGCATTTTCTCTTAGGTGATCAATTTATTAATTCTCATAACCAAATCTCTTGATAATCTTTGGATGTGGTTAGGAGAAAATTGATGTTGGTCACCATTGATTTTTACATTTTTCTATCAAAGCTTGAAGTAGGCCCTTCATAAGCATATCAAGGGCATGTTTCGTGAACCACATCTTCCTGTGCTGTGAGTGTTTTGTCTGAGATTATTTGCCCTGCTTTGGTTAGTCTCTCCAAGGTCATTTTTTTATATGAAAGATACATTGTACCTATTTTTTAAGTGAGTAGTCGGATTAGAACAGGTATCTGATTTGCAATGTCAGTTGTATATCAGCCTTGTCTTTCTTTGTGCAAGAAACATTGCTCCATTCATTGTCCTTCTGTATCACCCATGCATAAAAATCTGTACCTTGAAAAATGATCAGTGGATTCTGGGAATAAATTTATTGTGATGCTCTCCATTATTTAGCATGCAAGTTTAAGCAGTGTCTTGGCACTGACATCAAAGCAAACTACTATTACGTGTGTAAAGCTTTGTTGGAGGAAACTATTTTCTTTCCTATTGAAAGTTGCAACCACCATCAGACTGTATTTTATGAGTGGTTTTTGAAAATATATTGATGGTTATGGGCTTAAGTGGAATTGCGTGTCAAACCTCCATGGAATGAATCCCAGACGTCTGGAATGAGACAAAAATAAGGAAATCAGGTAGTCCAAAGGGCAATATGATGAATCACATGATTACAGGTAACACAGTGCTGTGAGAAGAGCAAGTATCTAGCCAGCGTTCAAAGAAAGTCCTGTCCCATATCCCTAGGCCAATGGATTTTGCTATCAGTCTAGTGAATTCTAATATTAACTTGCCTCATAGGCAAGTGAAGTTTCTAGGGGAATTCAAATTACAGAAGAACTGTAATCAATCCTGTTCATCAAAAATTTATTGGGGGCAAGTTAAAATGACTCGTGGGCTAGTGCATGCAAGCTACAGGTTGCCCTCCTTTCCTTGCACCCTGCTAGCCTAAAACTGCATTAACTAACAGTGTTTTTTCACAACAAAATCAACACATTTTTCATCTCTGTGAAGCAGTGAAGACCCTCAATATCTATCTAAGACATTCTTGTTCTAGAAAGTGTTATGTGCCATTAATTAGCAACACTCTCAGAAATGTAAATTTGTTATTATGGAAGTAGCATGTAAATAACAAACTGAGTCAAATTTGGATGAGGTGAAAAGGCATAGATATTCTTTACATACTCACCAATGTAAATAAAGCAAATACGCAAAACTATAAGGCTCTCATAGGATTAATTTTTGCAGTGTTATCATGAGGCACCAAACAACCTACTTTTACAGTTGATATTGGTCACTCTTGACTGGGGTTTAGTATGGGTCATGCCATCTTGTCTTCATTGACAACAAACTTTGTGTTTAAAAACCCAGGCACTGTATAATTGCAGCCCAGTGAAAATGAGCCAGCAGCCAGCCATTTTGCTACTTCCAGTGGAATATTCGGCTTCTACTCAACGCTTAGATGTTATTAATGATATTAAATAAAAACCGCAAAAGTTTTGCCTGCTACCTCTGGTTATCCTGCCTACTGCTGCAAATATTTTGACAAGGCCGTGCTCTAGCAGGGCTCATTGGCCCCTGGCGCCTAACTTTTGCCCCTGGGTGACAAGAAAATCGTAATTTTTTCCGAGAAATAATAATGCTGGGCACCCTGGATTTCACAAGTTCGAAGCACTGGGCTTCCTTCAATTTTCCTCAGAGCACAGCCTTGGTATATGTGACATATAGCAAGAAAAAATGTTGCAATTATTGACTTGCATCCTTTCCAGTGGGGAGTAAGCAGTTACCCCTGAGTGGCACTGAAGGTGGGATACGCTTGGGCCAATTTGGCCTCATTGGCCCAAAGTGCACCCTTGCCTTTACTACTCACCATACAGTTTACTCTTATTAATAATGATGTGGAGAAACATAAACATGTATAAACTACCAAGATAATGTGTCGACATTTCAGTGACCACGTGAAATATGTTATTATCAAGGAGCTGAAATAAATTGAACTTGCATTTATTTATTTCCATTCCTTGATAGTGACATCATGAGGTCCTTGAAACATTAGAACATCTTTTTGTTAGTTTTTACATGTTTACAGCTTACTCTATACTGAAAAATTGCCACTTATGTTTCCTACTAAAAACATTTTTATATTGTTCTGCTTTCTTTTAGATTCAGATGTAGCCACTGTGAGTCTTAAGTTCATTGGTGTCCCTCGCAACACAACTGTTTTAAAAGGAAGAAATGCTGTATTGGAATGTGCGGCTACTGGTTATCCTGTTCCAACTATAAGATGGACAAAACTGGGTAAAAACAATGGAAAGTTTAATGCACCTAGGGCAACCTATGGAATTGGCAATCTTAACTTTTCCAACGTTGATGAAAGTGATGAAGGACAGTATGAGTGTCAAGCTACTTCTAATGGGCGAACTATTTCCAGAACTGCATGGCTTCTTGTTAGAGGTACTTGATTATAACCCTTTTAAGTCCCAAGAATGACCAACATCAATTTTCTCCTAGAAATATCCATGCATAATCAAGAGAAAAGGTTAGGAGTATTAGTAAATTATCACCTAAGGGAAAATGCTTTGATCTTTTATCAAATTCTTTGAACTAATTTTTTAAGGAAATGTATGGAGATCAGTTTGGGGAATTTGTATGTAGACACTACAGGCTTAAAGGGTTGGTGATGAAGTGAGCTATTGATTTGAGTTAGATGAAGTGCTTGCAATTGCAGGGGTGCAACTTCAGAATTTCAATTGCATTATGTTCCTACAGTCATAACTTGCTCATGCGCTGGTGCCTTAAGCTCGTGCTTCCTTAAACTTTGAAAATCAGGTTACTCCACGTCATTTTTGCAACCTGCATTAAGTGTCTAAAAATCAAAGTAAACCTCAAAAAAAATATATTGGTATAGTAAAAGAGCACCAAGAAATTTGAAAAAGTAAAGCAAAACAAAACAAAGACACTTTCTGTTGTACAATAAAAAATCTCTCACAGAAATTAAAAAATGGCTGCAAATTCTCAATCAAATTCAGAAGTACACACAAGAATACCTGGACAGCAATGGTCAAAAAGGTGAATTAGTTTTTAATAAATTTTTTATTGGTGAAAGGGTTCTTGCACATCTAAACCATTTTTGGTTTCTTGCCTTATTACCCACTATGTACAACATTTTTTTTTATATACCAGTCGCAAGTATTTGTGCTAATAGTCATGGCTATATTTTCCTGTAACGTTGATGTTTTTACTTCAGCATCCTGCATCCTTGATGCATAAAAATCTGCGAAGATGCAAAATTAATTTGTAGGACACCAAAGTTGATCGATCAGTCTGAAGATGTTTTTCTAGAATATCCTTGTCATGTGTTTTCTTATTGTGGCTGTAGTTGATGCCTATTTATGTTAGTCTTTTTATATAGAATAACAGGCTATATTTTAATTTCATTAAACTGTGATATTAGAGTCTGTCCTCAGATTAACTGTCTGGTTACATAAAGGCCCAAGCAATTTCAATTTAGGACTCATTGCAGGGTTGTCATTAAGAGCCAGGGGCCGGGGATTTTCCCTGGCTACTAAGAGAGTGGCCCCCGGCTACTTTTATTGGAAAATAGAAAGAAAATAGAACCAAAAGAAATCCCTAGCCGTTTGATTCCCCGCCTACTTGTTGTATTTACCCGGCAACTTGAAATCTTAGTGACAACCCTGCGTTGTTTGTTGAACTGGGACTTATTGGTTCTGCACTGAGACTTGCTATTTTTCACAAGATGAGTCCCAGGACTCACCATAGCTAATTGTAACAAAAACTTGTCTAATCATAACATTCATAATATAACAATTATTATATATTATTATTGTTTCTAGTTCCTCCGAAGTTTACAAAGATACCCGCCAAAATGCAGTGGACAACTAATAAGCCTATCATATTTCACTGTGCTGCCACTGGATTGCCTCGACCAACCATTTCTTGGCTAAAAAATGGCAAGCCACTGATCACAAATAACAGAACATCAGTAACCTATTACGAAGGAGGAGCAGACTTGACCTTATCTGGCAATAACAAAACAGCAATGTACCAGTGCTTTGTGCAGAATGAAGTTGGTAGTATTCAGGCTGCAGTCACCGCTGTGGTTCAAAGTAAGGAGGGTTTCGGCTCAAACTTGATCAGTAAATTACCTCATTGGTACTTTATTTGGTGGGTCTTAAATTCCGTGTTTTCACCAATTGCAAAAAAATTGCAAAATTAAAGACCTGCAAATAGATATCCTCGCGAAATTATACTCTCAAAATGTAATAGCGGTATAGAAAATTCAAATCACAGGGAAAACAAATGAAAACAAGACGCATGAGTGCATGAACCCTGCATTCTTTTAGTTCATAAAATGATAGAGTGCTGGGGGAAAATGTGCACTGTGTAATAATGCGCTACGGCCCAGATGAACTTTGATTATGAATTGATGATGAATAAATGGAACATACTTCCGGCTAGCAAATCTGACTGGAAAGACTCGAATGTTCCAAAGGGATGTACTTGACCATGACTGCATAATGCTTCAAAGTAGTGTTTGCAGCTAGTTTTTGTTTTCTTTAAATTAGCATGAGCTTCAGTCACAATCCTAATATTTTGAGGGAAAAAACTTTGAAATAACACCCCATATAAAGAGGAAGAGAACATAATGGTTGGAATAATTGAATAATTATGTCAGGATTTTAAATTTGTTCTGGTTGCTGAAGTGATTATTGTACATGCTAAATTACTACAAAGGAGTAAAAAATCCAGATCTCCCTATGAGTAAGATATTTATTTATTTTATTGTCACTCTCATACAGGATAATCCCAAAACCAGTTTAAGATACATAATATTATAATCGTTTTGTCGATCCTTTTAATTGCAAGTTTGAATGTACAGTAGCTGAACACAGCAAAGAGAAAAATTTCTAGCATCGATAATTGTGAAATTTCCAATAATGTTGGATCAATCAAAATGGAGTTTTGCAAGATCGAAATTCGATAGTAAGCAATCGCCCATTTTTTCAATTAAAGCTATAAGCTTACATTTAATCTGTAATTTAACTTAACAATGAGATGTTGTTTGATCGATCAAAATCATGTTGAATTTTAGCGTTAAATAACTGTACGTGCTTTACAAACCTGCCGCTTCCGTGCGAGCCCAATACAAGTTAATTCATATATGACAAAAAAAGTCAAAGAATATTCCTTTCCCTTGATATACTAAGTTAACTGTTTTTATACCGAGACAGCCGGGAAGCACAGGACTTGGACCAAGCACAAACTTCTGCGATGAACAGTCAGATTTGTTTATTTTGATGAATGAAAATTAATGCACCGAAATGGCAATTTACTGCCACTTTCCTGCAACTTGGTACAAACTATGCTATATTACTAAGATCAAAGCTTATTTCTCTGCTTTTAAATTTTCTAATGTGTCTTCCTGTTTTGCGATAAAAGCTATAAAGCATAAAATTTCTAAGGTGTTTACAGTGATGTGTGTGGACATGTTTATACAGATTGAACAGTCAAGTTGTACAATTTAAAGCACAAAAACGGTCCATACATTTTACAAAACTGCTTCTTCCTTGCACCTCGGTACATGCTTAGTGTTTCTTCAGCTGCTATATAAAAATCTCGTGACTTGCACTAAATATATAAAGTGAAAATTACCCACCTTTTTAGCATGTCTTCTTCTCGCAACCAGCGATCACAATGCCGATCTTACTAAAACGGATCAAGCCACTGTCTTAGTCTGACAGTTTCGGGATGCATTATCCTCTATATAACACACATTACTAAACATTTCGACCAAAATAATTGTCAACCTCTCACAGAGGCAACAAAACAACAACGTTAATGCCACTGACTGACAAAAAAGCTGCCTTTTGTTCTTGACAACATGTCAAGGGGAGTTTGCCTCTAAACCAATAAATTTGCCGGAAATCGATCACATGATATTCTGCCAGTACAGGCATGCACTTTGAAGATCAGAGGGCGATTCGACAACGAAGGAAAAACCCAGGCCATTTTATAATTCATCTCTTCCTGAAAGGAAGGCCGGGTAATGATTAACATGTAATAACAAAAACATATACAGGATATGTGTCAACAAATTCACTTTACCCAGACAATTAACTAATTTTACTGGTATGTTGTGTTTTGTTACCTTCTGTCGTGAAAAAATGTGAATTTGCAGAGATTTCACACATGAAGTAAAGAATCTAGCCATCATCTTCATGTTAATCGCTAGATTCGTACGAGTCCCTTATTGAAATAAGGGTTCAGACTTTTTGAAAAACAAAATGAAATTAAGAATTGTACAATTAAATTAACAATTAATGAATGAGGCTGAGTAACTTATCGAGGAGGGTGTTAAAACACCCTCCGAGCTCTCCATAATTCTTTATATGATGTGAAAGCCAAGTTCAATAATTGTTTTATTATTCATTCAAAATAATTCCTGGTTTAAAAACATAGCTAAAACAAGCTTACCTGCATCGATGTTAAGTTAATCCTTGATGGTTTACGTTTAGGTTTGTCCAGCTACGCATATATTCTCCAATAGCCCTCCGAGTTGTCTTCCTACTGTTTTTTCTATGTTTTTAGCCATTATTTCGCCTAGTTCCAGCTGTAGTTCTTACTCTTGAAATGGGTGAAGTGTCCACCATTTTAGTTTTTACAACAAAAACAACTCAATCTTGTCCTCAGGTCTTCTCGGTTAACGGTGCATTAACCTGTAGAAGGCTGCATTTTTTACGTAGTTTCCTTGTTAAACACAAAATTCTTCCAAATTTAGTCATCAGTAACTGGTTATGGTGAATTATGCATGTGCTTTTAGCCAATCAGAATCAGGGAAATATTGTGAATGAATAATAATGCCATTTATTCATAATAATTATGTGCCTGTTAAAATGGCAAAAATAAATCCTTCACCAAAATTGCAAAATTAAGTACCAATAATTGAATGAATAAAAGAATAGTAAATATTTTTTATCATTGTTGTTACAGTAACTGCTGTAGTGTTGATGCTAGATTGGAATTACAGTCAAATCTCTCTCAATAGACACCTTTGTAAGACAGATATCTCAATAACATGAACACCTAGATTTCTTTAATCCTAAAGACCCAGATAGCAAATTCCCACAGTTTGGGTGGAATTTATTATTAGTTCCACTGTCACCAAGATTCTTTTGTTTTTGCCCTGTTATGGCAAAACTCAAACTCCCTGCAATTTACCAAAAAATTATAGCCACCTTTGTTTTGTAGTAAATGGAGTTTTAACACTAGCTGTTTCATTTCAGATAACCAGCCGGGGCCCCCAACTAATGTTGTTGCTCTGGCACGTTCCGCTTCATCAATTCTGGTGACCTGGAGCCCTCCCGATGGGCACTACCAAATAATTGGATACACAGTGCATTACAACAAGCCGGGAGGTGCAGGCAATGAGGAAAAGCAAAACACTGTCGAAAGCGATGTATACAGCAACATTGTTACCAACTTGCAACCATTTACAAATTACAGTTTCTATGTGAGAGCGTATACAAAGGCAATTGGGCTTGACTCCAAAGTAATCACACAACAAACCAAACAAGACGGTAAGTTAATTCCAACAATAATAAGTTGTGGCTCGTATAAGTCACATTTCATAAATCACAAGTACATTTTACAAGTTACTGTTTTATGGAATGGTTTCTCCTTGTTCTAAAACAACATTCTACAGGCTCTAGGATTTCAAATCCAAAGGAAAACAATTCTTTGGCTCATGCCCAGAGATCGTGGGAAAATATCTGTAACAATTTGTGGTTCGGTGAAAATTCATGAGAATCCACCTCCTTTAATGTTTTCAATGTTTCAAAGTCATATATTTTTTTCTTGGCACTGGAAGCCATAAACCAGTAACCTGCAATGCACTTTGAGAACGATTGAAGGTAGTGGATAATAGAAAACTGGCAGATACTAAACAACATTTTAAGTTTCGTGTCCATGTATTTTAAGCTGAGTCGTAACTAAAGAATTGCTCTACTAGTTAGGTGACATGTTTTCGTCCTGTTAATTTATATCTGGCACAGTGACCGTTGCTCTGATCTATGAAATGTGGCATTTAGGAAAAACCTGTCATTCTTCCCCCAGAGCTTCCCAAACCAAAATTCCAGTCAAATCGAAATTTTATTTTCTGAACCAGAACCATGCAAACGTACTTTTGAAACCTTTTTCGATTGAATGGTCTTGCTTGAGGCTTTTGTCTCCAGACTCAAAACTTCATCTTCTGTCCTTTTCATTCACAAAGATTTTGAATGGAGTTACACTCTTCATCAGAGGAAAGGTCACTGTCTATCAGAGGTACAATAGGGACCACTTGGCATGTACAATTTCCAGGGTTTTCAAAAAGAGTTAGAGTAGCGGGACTAATGGGAAAAGTAGCCTGAGTATAGCGACAGGGAGTTGCAAGGGGGCGCTAGTGTTGGGGTGGACGTGGCGGGGGGGGGGGAGGGTGAATTCTCCCTCCAGTGGGAAGGGTTTGGGGGCTGCCTCCAGGGTGTCTTGGGGGTATCCTTGCTGGGGGGCTTTCCACTAAATTATGAGGACGAGGAAGTGGATTAAAAACCAAGTTCTTTAAATTTTGGACTAAAAGTGAAGGTAAGCATAAAATTTCTAAGGTGTTTACAGTGATGTGTGTGGACATGTTTATACAGATTGAACAGTCAAGTTGTACAATTTAAAGCACAAAAACGGTCCATACATTTTACAAAACTGCTTCTTCCTTGCACCTTGGTACATGCTGAGTGTTTCTTCAACTGCTATATAAAAATCTCATGACTTGCACTAAATATATAAAGTGAAAATTACCCACCTTTTTAGCATGTCTTCTTCTCGCAACCAGCGATCACAATGCCGATCTTGATAAAACGGATCGAGCCACTGTCTTAGTCTGACAGTTCCGGGATGCATTATCCTCTATATAACACATATTACTAAACATTTGGACCAAAATAAGTGTCAACCTCTCACAGAGGCAACAAAACAACAACGTTAACGCCCCCGACTGACAAAAAAACTGCATTTTGCTCTTGACAACATGTCAAGGGGAGTTTGCCTCTAAACCAATAAATTTGCCCGAAATCGATCACGTGATATTCTGCCAGTACAGTCATGTGCTTTCAAGAGCAGAGGGCGATTCAAAGACGAAGGAAAAACCCAGGCCATTTTATAATTCGTCTCTTCCTGAGAGGAAGGCTAGGTAATGATTAACATGTAGTAACAAAAACGTATACAGGACATGTGTCAACAAACAATTAACTAATGTTAAGTTGTGTTTTGTTACCTTCTGTTGTGAAATAATGTGAATTTGCAGAGATTTCACACATGAAGTAAAGAATCTAGCCAGCATCTTAATCGTGTTAATCGCTAGATTCGTACGAGTCCCTTATGGAAATAAGGGTTCAGACTTTTTGAAAAATAAAATGAAATTAAGAATTGTACAATTTAATTAACAATTAATGAATGAGGCTGAGTGTCTTATGAAGAATTATGGAGATCGAGGAGGGTGTTAAAACACCCTCCAAGATCTCCATAATTCTTCATATGATATGAAAGCGGAATTCAATAATAAATTATTTTATTATTCATTCAAAATAATTCCTAGTAAATAAAAACATAGCTAAAACAAGCTTACCTGCATCGATGTTAAGTTTATCTTCTATAGTTTACGTTTAGGTTTGTCCAGCTCCGCATATATTCTCCAAATAGCAGATGTCGCCCTCCGAGTTGTCTTCCTACAGTTTTTTTCTCTGTTTTTAGCCATTATTTCGCCTAGTTCCAGCTGTAGTTCTTACTCTTGAAACGGGTGAAGTGTCCGCCATTTTAGTTTTTACAATGAAAACAACTCAATCTCGTCCTCAGGTCTTCTCGGTTTAACGGTGCATTAACCTGTAGAAGGCTGCATTTTTTACGTAGTTTCCTTGTTAAACACAAAATTTTTCCAAATTTGGTCATCAGTAACTGGTTATGGTGAATTATGCGTGTGCTTTTAGCCAATCAGAATCAGGGAAATATTGTTTATGAATAATAATGCCATTTATTCATAATATGTGCCTGTTGAAATGGCAAAAATAAATCCTTCACCAAAATTGCGAATTTTGGTTGACATATTTTTTATCATTGTTGTTACAGTAACTGCTGTAGTGTTGATGCTAGATTGGAATTACAGTCAAATCTCTCTCAATAGACACCTTTGTAAGCTGGATATCTCAATTACATGAACACCTAGATTTCTTTAATCCTTAAGACCCAGATAGCAAATTCCCACAGTTTTTGGTGGAATTTATTATTAGTTCCACTGTCGCCAAGATTCTTTTGTTTTTGCTCATATTGTAATGGCAAATACTGCAAAACTCAGACTCCCTTCAATTTACCAAAAAATTCTAGCCATCTTTGTTTTGTAGTAAATAGAGTTTTAACACTAGCTGTTTCATTTCAGATAACCAGCCTGGGCCCCCAACTAATGTTGTTGCTCTGGCACATACCTCTTCATCAATTGTGGTGACCTGGAGCCCTCCCAATGGGCACTACCAAATCATTGGATACACAGTGCATTACAACAAGCTGGGAGGTGCACGCAACGAGGAGAAGCAAAACACTGTCGAAGGAGATGTATACAGCAACATTGTTACCAACCTGCAACCATTTACAAATTACAGTTTCTATGTGAAAGCGCTTACAAAGGGGATTGGGCTTGACTCCAAAGTAATCACACAACAAACCAAACAAGGCGGTAAGTTAATTCCAACAATAAGAAGTTGTGGCTGGTATAAGTCACATTTCACAAATCACAATTACATTTTACAAATTACTGGTTTATGGAATGGTTTCTCCTTGTTCTAAAACAACATTCTGCAGGCTCTAGGATTTCAAATCCAAAGGAAAGCAATTTTTTGGTTGGTGCCCAGAGATCATGGGAAACTATCTGTAACAATTTTGTGGTTCGGTGAAAATTCATGAGAATGCACCTCCTTTAATGTTTTCAATGTTTCGAAGTCATAGATTTTTTTCGTGGCACTGGAAGCCATAAACCAGTAACCTGCAATGCACTTTGAGAACGATACAAGGTAGTAGATAATAGAAAACTGGCAGATGCTAAACAACATTTTTAGTTCCGTGTTCATGTATTATAAGCTGAGTCGTATCTAAAGAATTGCTCTACTAGTTAAGAATCTGAGTGGAAAAATGGTGAATTTCTGCAAATGGATCCCTAAGGCTGAAAATGTCACTGGCAAACTATTGTTCAGTTCGGTTATTTTAAGACCACAGTAATAACATGGTACCAGAAATGATCCTTACCGTGAATTCCTAGGGCTTGCTCTGTATAAAATTGCTAATTTGGGCTAGGTGACATGTTTTGGTGCTGTTAATTTATATCTGGCACAGTGACCTTTGCTCTGATCTGTGAAATAAGGCATTTAGGAAAAACCTATCATTCTTCCCCCAGAGCTTCCCAAACCAAAGTTCAAGTCAAATTGAAATTTTCTTTTCTGAACCAGAACCATGCAAACGTACTTTTGAAACATTTTCAATTGAATGGCCTTGTTTGAGGCTTTTGTCTGCAGACTCCAAACTTCACCTTGTGTCCTTATTATTCACTGTGATTTTGAATGGAGTTACTCTCTTCATCAGAGGTACAATAGGGACCACTTGGCAGGTACAGGTAGCCTGAGTATAGTGACAGGGAGTTGCATGGGGGGCTAGTGTTGGGGTGGACATGGGGGGGGGTAGGGGAATTCTCCCTCCAGTTGGAAGAGTTTAGGGGCTGCCTCCAGGGAGTTTTGAGGGTATCCTTTCTGGAGGGCATTCCAGTAAATTATGAGGACCCTGAAGTGAGATAAAAATCAAGTTTCTTTAAATTTGTGCTAAAAGTGACTAGAGCGACTCACCCTTGGTGTTCAGTTGTGTTTTGGATCTTGAAAGCTTACGTTAATGTGTTTCTCTGAAAATGTTTCTTCATTTAGCACCCAGCAAGCCTCCCTCTGATGTGATGGTGACAAGTAGCACTCCTGATGTGAGTCAAATGCTTTTTGTTGCATAATTAATGTGACAGGACCAGGGGCCTGTTTCTCGAAAGTCCTAATAACATTTTTGGTGCTGGAAATCAAATGTTAAATCAATCTTTAAAGAATACAAGCACTTGTTCTAGCCAACAAACCAGTCAATTTTGATTGTTGTAACTTGTTATTAGCCAAACTATCAAAACCTCCTTCTCTAGTGTAAGCAACAACAGCTCTCTGGCCCAGTAATAGGGACCTTAAGACCATACAACGGTGATGGTAACAAGAACGTCAAAAAAAAGCAATAGGTTTGATTAGCAAAACAACAAATTTGTACTTGCATCACGATTTTTTTGTACATTTCTTTGTTATCACTGCATGACTACAACGTGAAAATGGCTAATTTCATGTTTTGTGGAGGGCGTAAACAAGCAACAACAAAATTTTCTTTCTCCATCTTAAGTTACTTTCACAAAGTAAATGATCTGGAATAATTGCAACTGAGGTTGAAGAAACGTAAATTCACTTTTGAAGCAACGTTTTTGCTACTGTCGCCGTCCTTGCATCTTAGGGTCCCTAATAAATGGGTCACAGGGTCTAAGAGCTGGAAGCTTGAGATTCCCTCTGGCTGCTATGTGCTTGACCCCTGGCTACTTTCATAGGAAACAAAGAGAAAATAGAACCAAACGTAATTTCTAGCTGTTTTATTCCTTGCTTACTAATTGCATACCTGGCAACTTGAAATCTTAGCGACATCCTTGCAGGAGTCTTTTTATTTGATACTCTGGGTCATTTATGTGTCAGAACAGTATCACAGTTAACCAACATCCATTCTCGTTTTTAATGTCACATGTGAAAAAACTTTCTCCCATCTTAGGCAATAAATTAAACCTGTTATAAACCTAAGGTTAGTATGCATTTTTTAAAAACTCTTTATAGCAACCCTTAAGTTTTCAAATACAAGTTAGCCTTGTTATATAGATAAAGAAAGGTAGAGATATTATTTACAGTGGAATGTCAGCAATAGATGTAAAATTCTTACTCTTAATCTACACTCTACATGTAACAAAGATGGGTATTTTTTCTTTTGAAAAGTTGTAGTTATTATTATTATTGTTATTGTTATTATTATTATTGTTATTATTATTATTATTATTATTATTATTATTATCATTATTATCATCATCATTATCATTATTATTATTATTTTGTTATCCTCTTAACAGAGTCTCGAGGTCAAGTGGCAACCTCCACCAACTGATTATATAAATGGCATCATAACTAAATACATAATCACTTGTACACACATCGATGCTGGACAGTTGCCAAGAAAAACCATTGATGTTCCAGGTGATATTCTCCATAAGACAATTAATGGATTGAGCAAGGGAGCAAACTACAGTATCAGAGTATGTGCGGTAACAACGGCTGGCAAAGGTCCATTTAGTGCATCTGTAATTGGCAGAGTGCGAACTCAGCCTACTGGTGGTAAGTGAATAACAGTCATTTATCCCGTAAATCCTCTTTTACGGCCCCTCTCTCAAATAAGCCTCTCTCTAATATGACCTCCCCCCCCTTTTTTTAGGGGAATAAATTTAATAAGCCCCCTTATCTTCTAAGTCCCCCTCCCCTCCCCCTCATTATTCTCCACTTATAAATTAATGATAGACTGTATTAATCAATCACGACTATAAAACTTCATGTGGACTGATCCGGTATGCTTTAGTTCGGATTTGTTTTTGATCCTTGGCTGCATGACCTCCAACTTCTTGTACTTAAGGTGATTCCCTAGTAAAAGAACCTAACATAGATTGTAGATGAAACTTGGTACACTGATGTAATAAGTCAAGAAGATGATAAAAAGGTAATAAAAAGTCGGGGTCACCGGGCTCGTTTTGACGTCACAATGCTGACAAATGAAATACGGCTATTTTGGACCCTTTGACAAAAACCGCGCACAGCCCAAAACTAGACAAAAAGGAAAGATTTTTTTAATGATGCATGTGGTATCGCACAGAATTTGACTTAAATGTATTATTTATCGACTTACGTACTAGAAAAATGTCTTTCAATGCCCTTGTTTTTACTTTACGCTCCAAAGTAGAATTAAATTGGACACGCGCTATTCGACACGTGATAGCTCAATCCGTACAATTTAGTAAAATTGCCAAAAAACTGAACATAGATTTGTGCCAATTTTTTTCTCACCGAAAGGAAGCACTGTCCTTATTAAAATCATGAAATAAAAATGGGGGTCACCGTACTTGGTTTTTGTGGTAGAGCTGCAGAAAGTGCGCACCAAATGCATTTTCCTTGATTTTTGAGAGAGGACTGGGGCGAGTTTCAAAATAGAATGTATGCCAAAGGGGGAAGAAAGTATTAAAAAATCCGTTTTTACAGAATTTACATCAAGATATCATATTTAGGACACAATGTGATAAAGAAAGCGTTTAAATGAAAATCAAAGTGAATAAGCACAAATTAAACATCCACTATCGAGGTTCTCCGTGAGGAAGTCGAACTCAGCAACACGCGTACTGCTTACGTTATGCACATTCCCACCACATTGAGTCTCATCTCGGTAAGAAACAACCGCAAGCAAAAATTGCAATAGCGTTTCTCTTGGGTCAACTTCATTTTAATAATGTTACTTCACATGCTCTTTTTCACGGAGGCCATCTTGTTATGCGCAGTAAGAGATGCGTAGTGCAAAACCAGGGAATCACCTTAAGCTTTTCCATGTCCATTCTAGTTCTTTAGAGTGGTTTTCGTTTGAGTGTCGTAAAACCAAAACCAAAGTAATTACTCTGGCCAATCACATAGGACACAGACAATACATTGAACCAATCAAAACTCGAAGTAATTACATGTGGCTGACGCAAAGCGCGGGAAAATGCATGCGAGCGCGTCACAATTGGCTTTGGTTTTACTTCTGATTGGATGAAAAGGTGGCGCGAATCTTTTAAGCCAATCGCATCGTGTAGAAAGTGCAAAACCAATTACTTTTCGACACTTAAATGAAAACCGCTCTATGGAGAACTGATATCACCATTTTGCAAAATAAACAAGCCATTCCCCTCCCATTCCCACCTCTCAAATAAGCCTCCTTCTCTATTAACCCTCTTCCCCCAAACGTTTTTGTAATAAGGCCCCCTGGGGGGTTTAACCCTTTAAGTCCCAATAGTGACCAACAGCAATTTTCTCCTAACAATGTCCATACATTGTCAAGAGATAAGGTTGTGAGAATATAAAAAATGATCGTGAAAGAGGAAATGCCGTGATGTTTTATTAAATTCTCTCAACTAATTCTTAAAGGAAATGTATGGAGATCAGTTTGGGGAATTTGTATGTGGATACTGGGGCTTAAAGGGTTAATAGAGGATTTAATCAGTCTCCTTTTTGTTTTGGGAGCAAAGCTGGAGCAACTTGGCTCTTTTTCAGAAATTAATCAATTTATATGAAAACGGCTCCTTAAAATTCAGATAGGTTTCATCGTTCCACCACGTCAATGGAAGCCATGATTCTTTTCACAGTTCTTCCTCTGAGTCCTTTACGTCAGTCCTTGTCTGACATTGTTCTCATAGAGACAGGGGTCTCTTGTCTTCATTCTTGAACCCAGAGACCCTCAGGTTCATACTTGGATAGACTTGAGAGACTTTTTAATTGTAATTTGAAGAAGAATTCGTGTTAGTAAGTTCTGTCACTTGATGGTAATTGTATTTTAATACTTGCGGACTGCTCCGGAAATTAACTCCGATTAACTTGGGTGAAATTCACATATCCCAAGGGCTAGACTGGGCATTTCCTGTCCTGTCCAGTTGTTCTCTCTTGTGGCAACTTAGTGAAGGAGTGAAACCTTGAATGTTTTTTTTTTTGTTTTTTTTTTACTTTCCTCAGCGATAAGTGCTCCAGAATTAAGGGTTGTAGTAACAAACTCAAGTATGTTGACAGTGGCATGGAATCCTCCAGAGTTTGGTGAGGATTCTGTGGTAGAATATCGCTTATCTTATTCTCAGCCTCAAGAGCGACAACAAGGACCTTTCATCGTTGGTAAACAACAGAGAGAATATTCTCTCTATGGTCTTGGTAAGTAGTCGATGTTAACATTCAGTTTCCTCTCCTAAAGACATAGAAACAATAATTCATGGCATGCATCCCTGTAGGGCACAAAGGTCAATTTATCCTTCTGAAGATGTTTTGGTAGAATATTCTGTTCGTGTGATTTCTGTGGCTGTTGCATGTCTTTTTTGTGCTATAAGTGGAAGGACTATATTTTGATTTCGGTAAGCTCATATAAAGAGTTTTGGAGTCTGTCTTCGCCCAAGGCCCAAACAATATTAATCTGAAGGACTCGTTTTTTTTTTAACTGGGACTCATTGGTCCTGGAGTGTGACTGATCATTTTTCACAAGATGAGTCGCAGGACTCGCCAGAACGATTTGTAACAAAATCACTGTTTTTACCTTTCTTTTCCCTTGTCTCGTAGATTCTGGTAGGGAGTTTCTTATCAAAATCATGGCTTGGGATGGGAAAACGTTAGGTCGGGCTGGAGCTGTTATTGCAAAAACTGACAAAGGTTTGTTATGTCTGTTTTGTCCAGCAAATTACAGTAGAACCTCGATATAACAATTTTCTTTTTCATATACAGTAAAAACCTGCGACTAAGAACCTGCATTTTCTTGAGTTAGCCTCGACAAGTTCTTACATAAATGGTAATTAGTGCAAATTTAGGCTATGTAGGTTCTTACATAGGTTGTTATTTGCGGAAGGAAAAACATTGTAGCTCAGAGTATTTAGTGGTATGCAGCTCATTCCTTAGGTAAGATAACGCACATAAAGGAACTTTGCAAGAACGTGAATATATAAATAACGGGAAGTGACTTAACGTAAAAGAAGTTATTCTCCTTTAATGATTCCGTTGTAGTCGAAGCCTAAAAAGTTCAAAATAAAGTGGAAATACTGTCTAAGAACGTGAGGTGGGGGGGAGGGGTCGCTTGTTTGATATTAGGGAGCTTTAGCATCGACGACGACAACTGCAGCGAAAACGTCAGTTGTAAATGAATTCCCGTTTTTTCAATCTTTGTCGCGTTTATTCCAGTTTGCTGAAAATGGCAAGTGTAGGCGAATTTCCTTGGACTGCACTCAAGTTTAGAGAGAGAAAAAGAGATTCGTCGTCGCTTGTTTACGTCCTCCATAAAACTTGCAATTAGGCATTTTCACGTCGTAGTCGTGCAAGGACGGTAAAGAAATGTACAAAAAAGCGTGATGTACGTGCAAAGTTGTTGTTTTGCGTAATAAACCTACTGCTTTTTTGACGTCCTCTTTGCCGTTGCCGTCGTCGTTGCTAAAGCTCCCTATTAGCGCGCACGGCTGAGCCTCCATTGCGATAGGCAACCTATCGATGCGAGAACATAATGTGGTTTTGACGTCACCGTAGGGTTGGTCTAAGAAGGCACGAATTCCTCACTCCTCCCCTATAGATTTTTTTCTCCTATTGTTTCGATGATGTATACGTAGTTTAGAACTTGATGCACGATGATTGTCTTTGTTGCTGTTAATGTGCTACTTTCAACTTGTTGGGAGAGTTTTTTCATTAGAGGTGTTTTTTTGCCGGATATCTTTTCTTAGTCATGTAACCCCTCCCTCTAAAGGTAAAGTGATGCCGAAGTCTCCTAAAGTTAAGTAGGTATTTGAAGATTTCTTTGTAGTGGCTTAGAGCTTGTCAGTTCAAATTTGATCGCTTTTATTAATAATACGGTAAGTATATAAACGGAGGCTTCGCCTTTAGTTCTGGCTAAATCTATTTAGTAAAATCCAGCGAGTGGTCTATTATTAATGCTGCGTTCTGATTGGTTGAGCTACTACTAGGCTATATTTTATAGCCCACTGGTAAAAAAGCGTCGGCTTTTCAGCAGCAAAAAAGGATTAAAGTCTAGCTTTAACTAGCTAAAGTTGTTTTGTCTCGATATTTTTGACCAGCTAGTTGCATTTTACTAAAACAATTATTCCTCTCGCCCTCATGGCCTCTGAGTTTCGGCCTCATGGGCTATTGACTCAGAGCCCATTCGGGCTCGAGGAATAATTGTTAACTACACGCTAGTTGCACATCTCCCATAATGCACCTTATTTGCCGCCCAAATTTCTGCACAACCTTTGTTTTTCATTTCTCCTGCGTATTACAGCCGTCCCAAGAGAAATTGAAAAAATTGCTTATGCAAAAATTTTGGGGGGCAAATAAGGTGCATTATGGGAGATGTGCAAGTGGGGTATTATGGCCAAAGGGGAGGGCGCTTATTCGAGGAAATAAGGTAGGTGGTCTGCTTGGAGGTTCGACTGTATTTCCATTGTTACTAACATAAGAATTACTGTTGTGGATTTTTTCTGCAGATCCGAATGGCAAAGATGAAAATGTTGACAAGCAACCTCCCGCACCACCCATCAATCTGGTTTGTAGTGTTAAGAGTCGAAATTCCATCCTACTGACGTGGAAAAGTCAGCCATCTGCAGACCGGATTGCTTACTACACCATTACGTATTATCTTCGTGATGACGTAACTAATACTAAACCTCAGAAGGGAAACGCCTACATTGAGCAATTCCTCTTGACGGGGCTTGAACCCAAGAAACCTTACGTCATTTCCGTCCAATCCCATTATGAAACCGAGACTACGATACTCCCCGGTTCTTTCAGTACTACAGTTACACAATGTTCGATTCAACTAGGAAGTGGTATGTGATGTCCACAGATAAATGCCGAAAATCTAACCTGAGATCAGGCTCTATTTTCGTTTCGCTTTGAAAATTACATTCCGGCGGGCAAGGCGAAACGAAAAGACAGGCCCAATTTTAGCGGTAGCCGTTAGAGAGAATGTATGAGAACCGCAAAAATTGGGCCTGATCTCAGGTTACCGAAAACTGTAATATTGAAAAAAGAAAAACGTTGACAGAGAATTGCATTTCATTGCTTTAAATGATAGTCCATATTAATCTGAAACTTCCCAAACGGTTGGCGCCAAACAGTTGTCTTTTTGATCAGAATTATTTTGGTTTGGTTGTGTAAATGTTATAAGTACTGAGTTGGTACTTTAGTTCGCGTTAAAAATCCTATCCCAAGAGAGAACTTACAGTCCAGTGTTTACTTCTCTCATTAGTGAGTGTGCAAGCAGCGTGGCTGAGTGGTTAGAGCGCCGGACTTGTAATCCGGAGGTACCGAGTTCAAGTCCCGCCCTGACCGCTGGCTGGATTAGTTCAGGATAGTCCCGCGATCAAATCCCCGGCCGCGCTCGCAAATAGCCAACTGGTTCGCCTTCTACCAGTTGGGATTCTTAGCCACATTATGTTTCATTTGATATACCGTAAAATTCCGAAAATAAGCCCCGGGGCTTACATTTTTCAAAGGCCCTTTTTGAGGGGCTTATTTTTGGAGGGGCTTATATTCGGAGGGGCTTATCTACGGAGGGAAATTTGCGTTTCAAAATCGATTGGGCTAGCCTTATAGTTGGAAGTAAATTCACCGTTTTTGATTTGTTTTACTTTGTCATTGAGGGCAATTTTCCAAGTACAAGCCCCCGGGGGGCTTATATTTGGAGGGGCGATTTAACTGAGGGGTTTTTGCGTCACCGGTTTTGGAGGGGCTTATTTTCGGAATTTTACGGTACTGGTTCATTATTCCTGAGAAGCCACATAAGAGGAGACGATAAATTAAGAAATTTTAATGTAATTTAGATATTTTTTCTCTTCTTTAGGGCCTACAGCACCAAGAAATATCAAATATGTGTATGTGGGTCTTTCAACTGTGCGCATCACGTGGGACTCTCCTCTCAGGAAAAACGGCAAACTTACTAGTTTTGAGATTCGTTACACATACAATAAGTCAATTCCAGAATCAGAATGGCTGGTTGAAAGCAGGTCTTTGCCATTTCCTTCCACCTTCTTGAAGGGCTTTACTACCACCTTGGACAATATTCAAGAAAACAAAATATTTTATATCAAGGTGCGTCTTGCAAATGAAAAAGATTATGGACCCTTTTGTGACATGGTAGAGATTCAACCTCCTAGTGTGACCTCAGGCAGAGCACCTCCAAACGTCAGTTTTAGTATTTTGTCACCACAAAAAGTCAAACTTTCGTGGACTTGGCCTAATACTTTAAGCACATTGCTTACAAACTTCACCGTTCTCCTCACAAACAACTTTCATCTCCGGGAAGAAAGATGGAAGAGGCTGTCAGTTGCTTCAAGCCCCGAAGAAATGTTCCAAAGTACTGTATTGAATGTAGATCAGGACAAGACATACTACGTCAAAGTTCGTGCTGAATATGTTGATAATACTCCAGGGAAGTGGTCAGAGGTCATAGAGGTTTCTACAAGTGTGCAAGGTAGACTTTTCTTCTTAAACGTAAAATACGTTAACCCTCAGATCAAATTTCTCATTTGTTGCCTAAGAAGTTGATGAAATATCACGCAAACTCATTTTGTGCGATCATGTCCACTGTGTTGCACAAATCATTGAATGTTACAAGGAGAAATTTGATGTTAATCACTCTTAAGCCGTAAAGGGTTAAACTGTGAGTACGGAGTAGCCTCTTTTCCTTTCCAAAGAAATTGGGGTATCACTTTCCCATGCAAGGCTCAAGATACAAGGGTGTCAGCCTATCACCTCTTATGGTGGCAAAATGAATAGAACGCGCACATTGTGACCAAGAAAGTGCATATTTCTAAACATTTACACAGTTTTGAATCTTTCATGTGAATTCAGAGCTTGGGGAGGGGCTAGCAGATAAGAATTTTTTTAGAAAAACACTCGGATTTTAAATAATTTTATGAGAGGTTCACTTAAACGCCGTTTTTTCGACACATGATGATGGTAACTGACGGTTTGAGGCCATGAGTTATTACTAAACACAGGTTTGAATACTAAAAGAGAACTACTGTATGCCTAAACTCCTAATACTTCCCGTCCCAGAGTGAATAGTGAACTTACGGGATCAATTTAAGTTTCTAGGAAACTACCCACCTACCCCTCCCCTAAGCTACCATCAACACTTACTTCTCACTTGGGGCAAAATGATTACTTAGGGGAGGGTTAGGTGGGCAGTTTCCCAGAAAAATTGATTCAACTTACGCAGCAGGACAGGAGAGGAAAAAAGACGGCAAGCCTTATCTGGCAAGCGTGACAAAAATTTTGTTTGAAAACAATTTGCCGCCAAACTTCACCCTCCTTTAAACAGATCTTTTAGTAAATGATCAGAAACAATAATGTCAAGTGAAGATCACGACAAAACACGCAAGTGATAGCCACGTTGCGATTGTCACACACATGCAACCTCGTTCCCAGGGTTCTCTCCTACCCGCCCTACGGAGCGAGAGAGAGGGTAGGAGAGAACCCTGGGAACGAGGTTGTTCTTTCTGCCGACCTGTTGCGTAAACTCACTACTGGTGGAGTCTTGTAACTTGGAAATTTGTCGAATTTTAACTTTGGCCACTTTTGGAACAGTATAGGTAAGAAGTAACAGTATAGGTAAAAAGTATAACTATTGCTCAATATTTTTGTATTCTTTTGGCAGTGCTTCTGGCACATGTTTATTGTTCATCCTATTAATATCTCAACTAAGCAGTGTTGTTTCCCTTATAAAGGAGCGAGTTCAAATGCCACAGAAGATCCCACATATTCAGGAATAGAGAGTAATTATCCCAGTTTCAATATAAAACTTGGTGTTATCATTGGATGCACAATAAGTGCTTTTTGTGTCGTGGTGCTTGTGCTGTTCATAATATGGAGAAATCCATGCAGGTTGGTCAAGTTATGTTATTTGCAAATTCCCGCGTGCGTTCTGATTGGCTACATGCCACAAACTCGGACAAAACTGTTGAGACGGTCACTTCCAGTTATTTCTGTATCCATGTGCCTGCAGAGCTCCTTCATGTGCGTTATCTCTTCTTTTAATTTTTCTCCTGGTAAAATTTTTTTTTCTCTTGGTAAATGCCGTAAATTTGCCAGGAACAACTAGACCATTCTCGAGTTCCTTTTAAAGGAAAACCCAATAAGCGCCGTCCTTCGAATAAGCGCCCATCCTTTTAGCTGAAATTTGAAATAAGCGCTCGGGTGCTTACTCTAGCAAAGATATAATTTTCTTCCATATGACCACCTCTTCTAAACAGAACAAATTAAGCTCCGTCCCCACTCCCCCTTCTATGTTGTTTAGGACTACAACCAAGGTTTATTGTAGGAGAAAGGAAACGGTATTTCATTTGGCGACAGTAGCAATTTTTTTAAGCCCGTAAATACTGAGTAAAATAAAGACGGGTGCAAGAGTTTTTGTTTGCACTCAAGCGTCTAATTTAGGTGGTTTACAACAAATGTATGTTTGTTACGGGCGACCAGAGGAGTCCGCAAACCTAATATGAGGTTGCTATAGGTAATAGCATTACGCATGTGCGGCACGTTTGCAGCCAGCCTAAGAGTAAGTCCAATGCTAAGAAGAGCAATCTGATCACGCGTGATTTGACCTTTTATTATATCCATTTTGAAATCCTTGTCATCTGATCGGCTCTCCGCAGTGTGATTTAGTCACGAATCGCAATATTTTTAGCTCTAAATCACATCTGTTCGAAATCTTGTCATTCATGTCCTAAATTGCGTCATCTCTGTTTTAAATCGCACCATTTTGGCTCTATATTACATCACTTCTGTTTCGGATATAAAATGAGATGTAAAAGCCGTCTTGCTTCCGCTTTTCAATAAACCGGCTACTAGGTCCAATAAATATTGGCACTGACAGGATTCTGCGCTTTCAAAATGGCCGTAATAATGTGGTAATTGTACTTCATGTCGTGCAATTTGGGTCTGAATTCATATTTGTGGTCTCAAATGGAACTCGCGCTGCGCGCCCGTCCTATTTTAAAATCACGCGTATGATTTCAGACCAAATTGCACTCCACTCAGTTCAATTACCATTATTTATCACGTGAATCTCATGCAAAGCACCAGGTTGGAGCCAGAGCGTTTTGAGCTGCGACCTCTCCCGCACTCCCCAACCATTGGTTATTACTAATCTACTATCGTTCTTATGTTTTCAGGCAAGCAGCAGTTAACAACGGAAAAAGACATATGCTTGTTAGTGGGCAAGATTCGCTTCCTACGTCACTTCTTCAGCAGATTACAGTTAGCAGTGGATCAACAGAGGGAACAGGCAGTTCAGGAATGTGTCAATGCAGGTGTACCTGTGGAGGTCAGTTTTACCATATTGTTTTGGTTTTCAAAAATGGCCACTTCACGCTATCTACTATCTTTTTAATAAACTTGTAACCATAGCCGAGAAATCCACTTGGAGTTTAACCTGCGATCAGTTGAAAACTATTAACTTGTCAGCGGATAACTTTACAAAAAAGAAACCTCGATGGGTCGACACCCGAGCCCGTGATATGGTCATGTGATACTGGTCAGCCGATACTCTGTTTTGACAGCTGTCAACTGACCACAACATGGATATGTAATATCAGGGTGCAGGCTCCCACACTAAACAATGTGAAATCTCACACTTTCCAGCCACCCCGTGGTGCGGACGGACGGTCACATGACCACCAAAATTTTCCAGAGGATTAGATGACCAAATTTTCTTATCTGTGCATGAGTCTTCGCTCACGCGCGCCTCTAGCGCGCGTGGAGCTCCGCTAAAAAGTTATTCCAAAAAATAATTGTCCAGTCTTGTTATTTAAGACTTATTTAGGCATTGAAACTGTCTCCTGTCGTTTGTTGCTACGGATAACAAAAATGGACATGGATTAAAACTTTGAAAAAAAATGGGCTAACTTTTTCCAAATTTTAATGCTATTCCGGCAAAAGCACCCAAAAAATTTTTATAGTGAGTTCCCCCTGATGAAATTTGTTTGAGATATTCCCCATTACTCTATTTTTGTATGGGTAAAGACACTAAGTTGTGACTTACCCCTTGAAGCCTTAAGAGTGATCAGCATCAAATTTCTCCTTATAATTTCAATGCTTTGTAAAACAGAGTGGTCATGAGAATTACGGACATGATCACGCAAGATGAGTTTGCTTGATATTTGACCAACTGCTTCGCTTACTTCTATAGGAAATGAATAGGGGCAACAAATGAGGATTCAGATTTTGATCTCAAGGGTTCACGGGTTAAAGGGGCTGTGTCACGGCAGTCCAGTTCATTTTGTTTAATTTTGCGAATTACTCGCCCTCAATCGCTATGGAACTTAAAGTAAGAAAAGAAATTACACGTAGATGACAAAATCAGAGATCCGAGGCAAACAAATATGTCTTCTGAGCATTTTTTTTGAAGTTGCAAGCAGCAGGGATCAACTTCGAAAAAATGTTAGGCTGAACAGTTTTCAAAAATCCTAATTTCAATCCGTTTCAATCTTCTTCAGTTTTGCCCATCCGTGGCATCTGTTGTTTCTGTTATGTTATTTTAACCTTCCTTCAAAGTTTTAAGCGGCTATTTTTATGTTTCTCTTAATTTAACAGGTATTTTGTAATTTCCTAATTTGGCTGAATTTCGTGACACAGCCCCTTTAAGCAAATAATTGACCTGAACTAACAATATCCTCTTGACATAGCGCCATTAACTAGCCTCGCTTGTCCGTTTGCGGTGGTTTTTAACCCGCATGGTGAGTCCAAGTCAATAAGTATATTTGAATAGAGAGAGCGAGTTAAGAAAAAAAGTTACCAACATGTTTTACGAACCGTTCAGTTTTTGATGCAGGTTGTCATTTTTTTTGTTTGTTTTCTTTTACAGCAAGTCCCGGATGGCCCTTAAGACCTTCCATGGTGAGAAATACTTTGTAAAATTCATAATGTACTGTCCAGTAAGCGTAAGTTGCTTCAAGCCCGGCACGAACCAGAGAACATTTTTTTCTTGTTCCTTCAAGCTAACCTGTTCACAGACCCTCTGTTTTGTCTCTATAAAAACCGCGGGGGATCTGTGTACAAGTTACCTTTCAGCGTTTTTAATTTGAAATGTGGTGCAATGTTTCTATAGTTTGGAAGACATGTCGATAGTTTTTTTTATTGTTCCATTTTATTCAGGTAAGAGCCAGTTACAAGTTACCAGGTAGCAGTGACAGCACCACACCCATCACACCGAGTGTGTTTCCAAATAAAACACGAGAGCCAGATAGGTAATGAACTAAGCTTGTACGACCAGTTTGTGAAACCGGTTATGTTTTCCAGTCAATAGCATTATACACCTTGTATGCCCCCCTCTAAGGTTTCGTCCGCACGTAGCGTATGCGAATCTTTTTCACCCGTCCACATCAAACGTTACAACGATGGAGATAGGATAGCATGCCTTACGGAGCGTGCGTAATGCTAGTAGTATATGGTATATGACATCATCGTAGTCGAATACCTTCGTTTTCTTCCGTCCACACGCAAACGAGAAGCCGGCGTTTTCAAAAATTTCCACTCTGGAGAGGGTATTTAAAAAGATGCGTCTTCGGTGACCGTTTTCATGAGATACGTGTGGGCGGTACGCCAAAGCGGATGGAAAAAAATCTCTGTTTTCAAGCAAAAAGAGATACGTGTGGACGGGGCCTAAATTTTGTATAATTTGTTTTTTTATTCCTCGTGGGTATTTCAGCCGTCCCAAGACGACCCTGAAGATGATAACCGCACAGGTTGTCGAAACGTCAGTCACTGTCAACAGCAGTCTTATTTAGGACAACGTTCTCCCGGACGATCCCACTCAACCTACTTGTCATACATTCTTTCTTACGTGGTCGGGTCTCGTTTTCCCTTTTCCGCCGTAATTTTATTTTCCAAGCGAAAGGACCCCAGTGACCAGGGTCTGTGGTGCGTGGGGTCAATTCTGGTCTGCAAAGAGTCAGGCAGCAGGCTTTTTGAAGGTGGTTTTACTGTTTTCCTGACATACGAGTCGTAATGAAAGTATAACCACGTTTTTACAGTCAAAGGACAGATGCGTTGATTTCTAAAGAAACTGATGAGGTGGAAAGCGACACAGAAGAAATTAGTATCACAAATTCAGTTTAGAGTGTAAAAACGCCTAATTTGTCTTTTCAGTGAAGGGAGCTCAAGTCATCAAGATCTAAGCAATAGTAGAGGTGCGTTTTTTACGTGATATTTCTCGTAACTCAAGCCCTTGTAACCCTGGATCCAAAACAATACGACAGCTAACACAAGTGCTGCGACACTTTACACCTGACCCGCCCCAATTTTACAGTGCGGACACTCAAACCAGTACACTTGGAAGAAGATTGTTCAATCACAACTTTTTCTGAAAACAGAAGATTCTCAAGTTTTTTTGCAAACGGACCAATAAAATTCAAGGTTCAACTATGCAATCGCTGAAAACTTTAAAACCATTTGAAGTTACCTCACCCCTCAGGAAACAAACCTCAAATTTATGAATGTTATTGGTTTGTTTGCAAAAAAAGAAAACTTGAGAATCTTTAGACTGCAAAACAGTCGTCTTTTTGTCAAAATCAGTAAAGAAATCGGTAAAGCGTGCCGTAAGAGTCTTACGCGCGCGAAGCGCGCGAGCCTCTTTTAGCGTCTCTCCCCAGGTCTCACTCTCTGTTTTCAGCCTCGTTCCAGACCTTTTGTTTGACTGCTCGCGCGTACATGAATACGCAAAAATACGGACTGTTTAACAGTCTAGAGAGGACGCGGAAGGAAACGTGGGTGCGAGGGTGGAGAGCTTGCTCGCAGGCTACACGACAGTCAGCTGCTTCCTCTTTACCCGGCCAATTTAGCTTCGTTCTTCTGAATCCCATTGTTTTCATTTATCTCCGCAATCATTTAACTTTACTTGTTTTGTCTTTTCCCCTCACTTCATTATTTTTTTACATCAATTTTTTTTGGAACAGATTGTCACAATTATGTGTCTTCATCGTCAAAAACGTCTGTTGAATCGCAAACAGAAGATGACTCAACAAGGATACAGGTGTGATTGATTTTCCTTCATAGTCTCTTATGTGCGAACTGAATTTAGAAAGAAATCGATTATGTACTACGGAGCAAAGACCTACAATGAGCTCCCGCACTCAGCAAAGCACTGCAAATCTTTGCCTCACTTCAATTAGATGCTGAGGACTGTTATTTGGTAATTTTATTGCGTAGTTCATTGTTCAAGTATCTGCCTTTTCATATTTGGTTATATTATTGTCATGTATTTAATTTTAGTTTATCAGGATCCTTGTTTATTTCGCATCCGTTTCTCAAGAAATCTTGCTTATTCCTGTAACCAGAAGCATATAAGTTTAAAGCCTATCATTGTGCGTACTCAAACCCTGTTACACAGGTGGGGACCCTAAACGAGAATTTCGGCGCTGTCTCGCAGACGGACTTAACAAGAGTGTAGTATCATCTGTAGTGCAGGCTACCTTTTTCGTACTTTCAAAAAAAGTAGCATATTACCTACTGATACTTACATACGTGCGTTAAAAAACAAACCGTTTAAAGCTGGTTTGGTTGAAGCAAATTTCCCTCGCGACACGACTAATTAGAAGCACTACCCAGATCTGGTTAGTGACGCGTCATCAGTATGGAACTTCTGCCCTCGTCCCTCTGACGTTATTTCGCGTGGAAACCAGTGGTGACGTCGCGAAAAGTCAGCTGTTTTCAAGCAACTCCGTCTAGTCTATCCGTTGCTTAGTACCACACAGCCATCCTAATCTTACTTTTTCGATGTCTTTTTCTGTCTTCCTTTAGGCTCCATCAAGAAGTTACAAGCAGAGCATACCTGTTGACGTATGAATTTCCCCCTATCACAGTTTTATTACATAATTTCTATTAATATTATATAATATTATATCAATGAACACACAGAACTGGTCTGTGTTGTTAGTTCCCGTTGAAAGTTATAATCGTTATTCTTAAAAGCTAGTTCTTTGCCCGTTTGAAAATTTATTATCCCGAGCTACAGTTTTAGCCAGGAGGGTATTGAAACAACTTGCAAAAATTATTGATGTTTTAAACGGAATTTAGTTTAAGAAATATGACTTAAATGCGGTAACGATAATTTTTATAGCAAAATCTTATTTTGTACTATTTTTGCATTGTCATTTCAATTTGTAAGGTCACGGAAGATAAAGACCTTACTATTGTAGGCGGAGACATTCTTGGTTTGCAACCACGCGACGAGACGGCCATGTTGGTGGTGAAAAAATACTCTTTTTTGAAGAATTTACATGAAAATGGTGTTTAGCTCCAAGAGGAGAGAAATGCATTGGGAACAGTTCATCATGTAAGCCTTCCGCGAGGTGTCCCGAGCATCTGTGCAAATATGCATGCAAAACCCCACCCGTCCATTGCTCGGAATTGTGCTTGTTCACTGCTCGAAAAAAAATTACTAAAATGTAACCCTCACAGATGGTCGGGACCCTTTGCGGAAAGCTTACATGATACTCTACCCGCTTTTTTTCTTGATCACCAACATGGCCACAGTAGCGTCACATGTAAACCAGTAATACAGGTGCGTGATGTCTAGTGGGGTAAAATAAATCCTCGCGCGTAATCGTCAACTTTGGACAATTTCAACGAGGTTTAATCCTCAGTATAATCCCAACAGTGACCAGTTAGGCTGTTTAAAAGGCCATTTTACGGTTGTGTGCTGTGTGTCTTGGCCTCTGAACAGAAGCGAGACCGGAGATGACCTTGTTGACCGCGTGAGCTTTTGCTCTGCTTTCTTTGCGTACCATGGCAATTTATTACATTTTTTTAGTTATTAAAACAATACAATTTTATTATAAGTATCATCATCATCATCATCATCATCATTATCATCGGTGACGATAATTCTGAGGATAATCGCATCATTATGCCCGTTTCTGACAGGCCAAAAAAAACTGGACTTGATAATCTGAGATATCTTGCAGATAATACTTCTGACTATCGTTTATCTGATTTATCGGACCAAAATCAAATCAGCCTTCAGCTTTCGCATTGCAGATAACTTATTTTTTACTTATTTTACAATCTGAACTTGGTGAAGGCCACTGAAATCGCTATAACTGTATTTAATATTTAAGCTGAAATATATTTATATTTGTTGCCAATCAAAAATTATTAAAACTACTCAATGTGATCTATTTATATTTAAACTGAGGTGATGTGCCCGTATCTCTTGAATCTAAAGCGTTTTTTTAAATATTTTCAACAAAAAGCAGTCAGAGTTTCTTCCTTTTCGGACCAATGTGGCCTTCTACAAGGTTCTTGAATTATACCTTTACGAGTGTACCGCCAGTTTGAGCATTTAAACTTAATACAAAATTGGTTCTTTACCGTATTTAAAACGAAGAAAATAACCTTATTGCATATTACATGATTTTACACCATTTTTACTATCTGATTTTAAAAATTCAATTCGTGGAATCTTTCGTACTTTTTTTAAAACGAACATTATACCCGCTGATTATCAATTACGGTACTCTGTTAGGACATCAAGGCTACAACAATATCCCGCGACCAGTCTAGTCGCACTCAGTTTTCGATTTACTTTCCTAACCATAGCAAACCAAACCAAAATAATCCCATTAACTAAGCGTTATCCATTAACTGTTATATATAAAAACTTGAAGGTAAAAATGCTTGGAAAGGAATAATCCGCAAGTTGTATCATCGCGTGCATTCTAATCGTTAATCCTGTCGGTCTGCACTTGTTATAGTTATATTGTTCGCATTATAACAATTTGTTTGATAATAATTGCACAAATTCCCGTTATATTTTTTCTGCGATTGTGGATACTAGCGTTGTTAACATAACTTGTACTTAAGCCTTAACACGTTCGTTCAACTAAGGGCAAAATGTTGGCTTAGGGGAGGGGTAGGTGGGAGGTTACCCAGAAACCTGAATAGACCTTTTTAGGTTGTGTTTTCTTTTTCCCCGTTTCAGACCAGGTGATAGTACCCCAGAGAACTGTTTCTTTCAAATGTTGTCTTGTGAACGTGCATCTATGTGCATATGTATGCATAATTAATGAAAAAACAAAAAGGCAAATTCCCTGGAGAACATCACGTGGTCTTAATTGGGAAAACAAAACATACAAGCTAAAAAGATCCATTGATCTGGAGTGTTTGAGTTGTCGTGGCAACCAAACCTGAATTTGCGCTCATCGTTCATAGAGCAGCTCATCCCTCCCTCAGTCCTCTTTTAACTCAGTTGTAACCATGTGATCGGTATGATGTGTATCAGGTAGAAGATATAACACTGCATTGAGCAGGTCTCCTATGCCACTTGTGTTATGTAAGTTTTATATGATGTAATAATATTGATTAACTTAGTTACATTTACGCATTTAAGACAGTTGTCAAGGCCTAGTATAGAATTCGACGCGAAGTGCAATTGTTTCTTATGCATAACGTTTTACTTAAGCCGTGAAGGTAATCTTGGAGCTGTCCACACTTGGTGCCCGGTAACCAGTGCCTGGGTACCCAGTACCGGCACAAAATGGAGTTGTGCACACACCCTGTGTAACCTATATGTGACTGTGTGTATGTTTACTCCATTTCCCCCTTTCTGATGCCATTTTGAAACTTGAGCTTAGAAGCGAGTACCCCAGTGGACTGCCCTAGATGAACTAACAAAAGAGGGTGCATACTGGGACCTGGAGCCCACTTTTGTTCCCTAATTCTATTCTAGCGTGGGTACTTGGAAAAAGGGCATCGTGCCAGGACACCAAGTGTAAACGGTGCCATAAAGAAATACACTGTATACCAAGTTCCGAGTTTTATGACAAAGAATTTAATAGATGGTAGTAGTAGGTTTTGTTGTAGAGTAGTATAGCAAGCTCTAGACAATAGTACAACAAAGTATCACTCATAACGTGTAACTTCAATGACGTATCTGGTCACCGTCTTGTAGATAATGTTAATTGTAAACGAAACTGAAGCTATGTTATTCCTACGGTAATTTTTACGTTAAGTGGCTGGTCCCGTGCATTCTGTTCCCTCCATGTTCACGTGGTATTTAGATGTGTAGAGAAAAAAGATAGAGAGCCTGTGTGGCGGGCGTTTGAAGGGGAAGGGAAAAGGGATTTCGGGCGCGTTAGAAGCGCGAAGTACGCGCGAGGAAAGAGGGAAGGGAACGCGTTACTCTCCTCCCTTCTCCCTCGAGCGCTGTCTTCCTTTCCCCTTCCCTTCCAAACGCATGCCACGCTGGCTAAAAGATCGAAGGAGCCTGCTGTCATGTTCATGAACATTTGACAACAAATGTAGATATTTTTGCTTAGTGAAACTCACTTGTACCTTGGTAGAAAGTTGACGCTCGATGTACGAGTTTTATTTTCACCTGCCAAGCGCATTATACATTTTGGTATGGTTATCGAGTTGTAAGGTTTATGTTTGCAGACAGCAAGGTCCTTGGTTGGAGTAGAAATTGTTTCATATTTCTACCAGTTGTACATTAGCATTTAGTATCTTAAGCAGTAATTTGTGTAAGTTTATAGCATATATTCAGCAGTCATATCCTCTCTTAATAACACTTAGAACTCTGTTTAAAGACCCTTCCACGCTCAAACTCAGAAGTACCTCCTTTTCAGAAACCATTTCACTCCTAACAAAGGCCAAAGTAAAATTCAAAATTTCTTGTTGTAAAACCCTAAGAAATTAGTAGTACTGTGCAAAAATTTGTAAACTTAGCTTTCATTTGAATGGTAATACAATAAGATTTCGTCCACAGATTCAAAAGTTAGAATTATTGATCATCTCTCCTTAACTCAGTCCGGGAGTAGGTCAAGATGTGTTTGTATTGTAAAGCCTCTCTCACACAATTTAGTGCCGCGGAATGTCTATGGAATGCTGGGTAATTCCCTTCTCAAGGATTAGTACCTTTAGAGCGTGAGTTGGAAAGGGTCTTTGAATGGAGACTTGAGCTTCGTCGTCTTGCATGCCTTGACCACTGGTTGACAAAGCATTATTTAATTTTTTGGTCTTTCTGGAGACCGTTTCAGATAGGATTAAGCATTAATTTCCCAGGCAGAAGGACAAAATTCTTCTTTGAATTGTAAAGAACCCATATGTAAGCGCAGTTAATTTCAAATTGTCTCAATGCAAAAAATTTATATGCCGGGTAAATTGTACTTGAAGTGCCCGGCTTTTTATGGAAAAAATATTGATGCATGCTGTAATACCATAATACGCGAGAGTTATTTATCTCCCTTTGTAAAAAAAATCCTTCGTGAAAGATTTCTTATAAGTGCTATATAATATATTTTCATCATATGCTTATACCTTTGTAATTTATACTTATATATAATATATGCACATGCATTTTTCATTTCTGCCTTCTTCTGTTGTTATTTTTTTAGAAGCAACAAGATGATAATGTGGCGATAATTACTTTACCAGGGTAATTTTTATACTTGGTCCTCTGAAAACATATTAAGAAGACAACACAACATTGTACAAGGAATATTATATATTATATATTTTAAATAAACCCTGGAAAGCTAAATACAAGATACCCTTCTTGTGTTGTTATTGTCTTTAGCGTAACTGATAAACCTGGTCGGATGTTAAAAAATGCGTGAAAATTACTCCCCTATAAAACTACTGTAAAGCGGGTAACAAAAAACGAGTTGAAAAGCGACGTTGCGCGTTTTACCACTCGCGTTCAAAATTGCGTTGCAACAAATCAGGTTGTTGCGACGGTTGTTGCAGTTGTGTGTATACTGACTTCTGATTGGATAAAATTGCGCGGGACTCAAGCCATACGCGGGAGCCAGGCGTCACTTGCTGCAAAGCAAATTTGCGTTAGGCCAATAAAACGCGCAACATGGACAGAGTTTGTTGCAAAAAGTAGAGTGTAGAACTACTCTCTTCTTTCTACAACAAGTTGCAACACCCTCGTTTGTTGCAAGACAGGTTTGATTCGTAGGTGGTAAGACGCGCCACATCGTTATTCAACTCAGGCCTAGTCCCATCGTCGAACTTTTCACGAGTCATGGGACGAACTAAACTTGGTGAGATAAGTTTATGAAAAGTTCGACGTCTGGCTCACTTAAGTTCGTCTGAATGAGTTTGGATCGTCCAACACGTTCTATCCGTCTGCTTAAGACAGATAGAAGACGATCGTCTCCGGGACTAACGTCGATCTTCACATGCGACGAACTAAACTGATAAATTCAAAATTTGTATGATTATGTATATTTAACATACAATGGAGGACAAAAGAACTTGGGACTGTGTGAAAAGCCCTTCCAAGCAATTGTTACGTGGACCCTGCTCCTAAGGATAATTTTCTGTTCGGCTTTGGGTTTATACCATCGTCCCCCCACTTTCCCTAGCAATGTTGTGACAAAAAAAAACGCTCATTTTCACCCATTTTGCCCCCAATTTAACTTTGTTTGGGGTGGGAGGGGAGGGGTCACTAGTTTTAGCAATATCACTGGAAAGGTCTCAACACTTTTGACCTCCATTGTAGTTGGGGAGAAAATGTATTGCTGATCATAAAATTGCTTTTTTACCTGTTTCAGTTGATTGGTTCGACGCGTCCTAAGTTCGAAGCCTGACCCAACAGACGATCTTAACTTAATTTAGCTCGACCCAAATTAGAGTTTGCTTCGTCTCATAAAAAGTTCGACGTTTGGCCTAGGCCTCATTTTGCGGCAATGTCGCAAAAGAAATTGCACGTTTTTGTCGCCTATTTTACCATACCTCAATAGGAGCCGAACGTTACCGTCCCTCCTTCCTTTAAACTGCAAGAGAGTAGGTTTTTTTTCCTCAAAATTTGTTTTGCAAGGTGCGAAGCGCCGGTGTAATCGATATTTTCGTGCCAAGAGCGTGGGCCTCAGGCGTGTGTGTGGCGTGTCTGTCCCTCACTGACGGGCTCTGGAAACAAGAATAAAACAAAAGGCAGCTTAATGCTCGACTTATTGACAGCGTTTGGGTTCTCTTTGGCTAGAAAACTGAGGCGTTTTCCGGGTAGAATTTCCAGAGGCGTCGTCTGAGTTAATAAAGGCCGACGTTGGGTAGCGAGGGGTGATGGGAAGGCACAAGTTGAGAAGTTCTCTTATTTTCTCTTCCCATCACACCTCGCACATTAGTAACATTTCTGCCCTGACAGTGAAAGCAACTTTTCTAGCTTGTCTCGTTCCCAGGTGTCGCTGTGGAGCGAAAAACAGAGCTCCGGGTATCATGGGAAGTATATGGGAACCTTCCTGAAAGATTGCGCTCGCCAGGGTACGACTGAAAACTAGGTGCTCTTTGTTCAAGCACAGTAATCTCCAATCGTCCAGAACACTTAATTTCCTATACAATAAAAAAAACAAGCCAAATTATTCTCCATTGTCGTTTTATTGTATCAGTTACGGTGCTTGTAGAAATCATCTGATTAGGTCAATTTTAATGCAATAAAAGTAGGTTGCTATCTTGGTTATGAAAGATTTTCTTATTGAATCCATTTGTACTAATAATTATCCGTTCGTGTAGTACACCTGATACGTACAACTATATTTTTAAAACTATATATATAAAACATCTCTGAGAATCCAAAAACTAAAATTACATTTTCCTTTTCCTATTTACAGCTATATACACAGTTCTTGGAGCTTTGTACAACCTTCCCCAGATTTGTGTTATATTCTAATATGCCGAAGACTGGCGAGCTTAACTTAATAGCCTAGTTGATTTATCTAACTCCGTTTAGAAATACTTTTCTCATCTAATTCACAATTTTCCTCCTCTCCCCTCCTCGACGCGGAGATCAAAGCCTTCATAACGGGCACTTCCGAGTTTTAAAAACTCTCACTTTCAAAACGAGCCTAAGTGCAAAACCTTTCTTGTGAAAATGAGTTTTTTTGCATAAGAATAAAAATAATTTTCATATCAAAGGCCTCGCACTTTCCCTCGCTTTGAGACAGAGGATTGGGACAACTCGGACATGTCGGAAATTGGCTATTCCAGAGTTCTTTTTCGATAAACCAATGTCTGTTTGTTTATTCTGTTAAAGGAGGCGTGCCATAATCCTGCGGTCATTTTCTCAAATATCAAATTAAGTTTTTAGAGAAAAACTAAAGTAGTTTTTTACCAAGGGTCTACATTGCAGATAGTTCTCCATTTTGTCTTTTTTTTTTATTGATGAGCGCGCGATCTGGACGCGCAAGTTCTTTCGCTCGATATTTGCCGTGTTCATTCAGTTTGTCATGGCAAAAAAAGAGACGCTGCAAGCGGTCTAACAAAATAAAAAAGTCGCTAATGTGAGAGAATTTCTTGGTCGACTACTGACTAGCTTTGGTAAATGTCAGCTTTTGCTACCCAAATGGTTCGTCCTGAGTCACTGCACTTGTCTGCGCATGTCCAGTTTAGCTGATCTACATCTCACTGTATGGTGGTGGTGGATCATGTCGTGAATTTGAGTTATAATTGATGACGTAGTCTCTTCGTGGAATGCTGAGGTCGACCACGTAATGTGAGCAAGGAACCTCTCGCACAAAGTTCGATGGTGTTTGGCTTGTTTGCGTCTCGATAGTAGAACGCTGCAGTTCTGCAGCTCCGATTTCCACGTCTTCCTCTTCTTCAACGCTAAGATCGGTTTGTGACGTTTGAGACTGGCGCGAGTTTACAGTGCATTTGCCATCGCCTTCTGATCTGGAGTGTAGGGTGGCCTGGAATAAGAGAATGTTGAAGGTTAGAACTCTGAAAGAATTTCTTATTTTTTGGCAGAACGTTCTTAGAACCGGTGACACCATCGACTAACTTCAAAATTTTGATCGGCTCCGGCTACAAATAGTCCGAACCTATTTCAATGCATAACTAGATAATTACCTAATAATTATTATGCCTTGGTATATTGACTGAGCGGCCTCGGACTGAGATTTCCACGTAATGGCCTTACTCTCGGTATGCGGTATGTTAATTTTCAAATTGACTTTTAATTCACAGTCACGGTAAAAATTATCAATCTTTCAGTGACCCTTTAAGCCCTAAGAGTGATCTGCATGAAATTTCTCCTTGTAATATCAATGCTTTGTAAAACAGAGTGGTCATGAGAATTGAGTACCTGATCAGGGAAGATGAGTGTAATTGATATTTCAACAAATTCTTCCCACTACTTCTATTGAAAAAGCATGGGGACAGTAAATGAGAAGCAATTTTGATATTAGTGTTTAAAGGGTTATCTGATGACTGCGTTGGTACGGACTGAACGAAAAGAAAAGTAAAGAAAATTAGACTTCTGATCGGCAACAAACCATGATTAATTAAGAAATGTTTTTATTTTTATTTATTTATTTTTTCATTTTGGCAGATTTGAAAATATTTGACTACCTTGACCTTCTTTCTTTTTCGTCAACTCCCATAAAAAGTGAGCAATTAGATGACTTTGAAAAACAAGCAAGAGTTCATAACAAAACGACTGCACCTTTGGTCTGCATACCTTCGAACGTTGTTTTCGGCAAAGCAACATGGTTTCCATGACAGCTGCCACAATGCACGTGATCCACCCGCCCCCATACACTCCACTCATGCCATAAACGAGGTCCCGGAGTTTAATCTGTATGCCATTACAGTTGGCAGTGTCCCTGAAGATGATTGACACCTGTCGCAACTCACTCTGATGGAAGCACTTGCACGAGTGCTCGACAGGGTAAAATTGGCAGCTGTCCATCTTAGAAAGAAGCGGTGCTATTTCAGTTCCAGCATGAAGTGCCCCGGCGAAACACAGCATCGCAGCAGCGACAGTGAACACAATGGATGATATGACCTGTTGGATTCGGATAAAGGTAAACAAAACGTGAGTTAGACTGCCAGCAGTCCCTCTTTTTCTTCAGATTTTGCGAAGGGAGCGCACGCGCGCGCGAGCGTTGATGTGCCTCTCCCGCCCCTCTCCTTCAGTCACGTGCGTGGCCATTTTCGTTTCTCGAGCGTTTCGCTAGCTCGACGGACTAAGAAAGAAAGAGAGACTGTTCGTAGTCTAAACATGAGTAGGAGGCACGTACTATCTCAATATTAGGGGGCTTAAACTAAAACGTTCAGTTGAGGGACGCGCGTCAACTAGAAGTGGAATTTTTGGACAGTGGTTTCGTCCAAATTTTCGGGCAAATGGTCTCTTTAAGGGTAAAGACACTTAGTACAATTTGGCAGCGTCAGTGAAGGCATATCAAAAGGGAAAGGCCGCACACGCGCAAGGTTTTTAATCTGTCAAGAGCCATTCGGACTTCATCGCATGGAGGCACACTGTACGAGGGTTATAAGGACTAGAACAGTTTGACGTCGCTCGCTCTTTGCAGTTCAATAGCTAGTCGAGCAAGGCTCTTAAAAGAAAATCTCTCTTGACCCAGATGATGATTTCAAAGATAAACTTAGGCGAACGCAGATCGCGCGCGTAGCTCTATATTTTACAAAACGAAAGTTTGATTCTCTAGGAGGAAAGACTGTGAATTAATTGTATAGTAACGACATACAAAAGTAAGCATGCCATTGCCTGGAGGCAAGCAATCTATCAGTGGGCTACTTACAAAGACTCTTGAATGTGTTTTACACGTGAGCATCAGTTGTAGGCCAACTATTCCTAACTGCAAAGGAAAAGCAAATACAACACTCCCTGTTAGTGAGTGAGCGATTGACCATTTGTCATTAAGACGTTTTGGGGATGTTCTTCTTCAGACGATTTTTAAAAATTTCTTAAATTCCTTTAAAAATGAGTGGACAAGAATTCTCCAACTTTGGCGTTCTATGACATAATTAGTGTTAAAGAGGGTAATTAGCAAATTGGTAGAAGTTGTAACTTAGTTAATTACAGAGGGGCGATAATTATTGGTAATTAAAAGTTCTATTCTTCTCGTCTTCAAACGATACCGACCAACTTCACCTTTTTATTATAATACACCCAAATAATGTTTTCGGGACTAAAAAATTAAATTTGGAGCCAGACTTTGTAGCCCTTGTTACTTCGATACTATATGAAAACACATTCAGCTCGGTATTGTTTGAAATTCCTTGTACACTCGCGCTGTCAGAAGTGATACATTCAGTTATTTGCATGCATCGGGCTGCGAAATCGTGCTATTCCCAATAGAGGATTCCCTATAGAATCAAGAGAGAATAATGGATAATTATCCACTTTGGATAATATGTGAAAAAAAGTTCCTCAGTTGTAAGGCGAATCCTCTTAATTGCAATGCCTAAATTTAGAGTTGATCTCTGAAAAGCAAGATTCCAAGTGCTTTTATTTGTCCTTTCTCGTTTTTATTCAATTTTTGATCAAATAAGCAGGCATGTTCCTCTTTTTTCCGTATGATCGAATTCTTTTTTAAAGCTCCAAAAGCAAAAACTCGGTGCGACGTCACTGTTACTATCTTTTGGCAGAGGCTACTGTGGTAAAGTTCACTGCAGTAAAAAATTATCGGGCAGGCACCCCTAACAAGAAACTCCCCTTGCGGGGTACTTGAAAACCTTTTAATTTTTGCATGTGAAACACGGCGCTCACCGTAACATGTGTTTTTGTTTCTATGCAATTGAGATATTCCACACGTGAGCTGTAACAGGTGGTTGTTTATCGCCGTAGACCGCAAGTGTTGATTTAATATTTTCTAAGAACATGAAAAGAATCAGAACAAAAGAAATGTGTGGCATTTTCTAGGTACGATTCAGCAGGTTCCTACATGAAAGATCACTGAAACGACTTGTTGACGATCTATGTTAATGCCAAAGCAAATCACACATTCGCTTTCAAAAAACTCTCGGCGGTGTAGATCCGAACGGGCCATAAGAACCGTGTGCATTTCAAAACCATCACTTGAATTAACTTCCCTAGAAGTAAGTACATCGGTGTTTCTGGGTTTCTTGATAGGTGAACAATCTCAAAGATCGTCCTCGCTGAATTGTTTGCTTTCAAAAAATTCTCTTTCTTGTCATTTACCCTTGTTGATTCATTCTACTGTTTTCTTCTGTTTTGATCACTTCCGCTTTAACTTTTTCCATTTCCGTTCCTTTTAGCCTCCGACCACTCCACCTTTTGTTTACGACTTTTTCAATTAACAGCTGATTTAATCTTTGTGCGGCTCACTCCGCTTCTCTTTTCATAAATGGAAATCGTTTTTACCCGTCGCTGAGATTTAATCTGATTTGATTGGCTAAGTTACCTGAGAGACAAAATCATATCGGGTTTCATGAGCGAGCTTGTTCCTTCCTAAGTTAAAACAAGGTCATTCCTTCTTGAAAGGGTCTCCAATGCTACCTTGAGGATTAAAAAAACAGAATGACCTCCTTTACAACCTGTTAATTCGACTCTTTCACATGCAAATACGAAGGGACGCGGCACGAGGCTGTAGTTACTTGCTATGCAAATGAACACGTGCAGCAACTTAACTTTAATACACATGATTTGATCATTCGATCTTCAGATCCTTAATGCTCTACTTAACTATTTCCGGCAATGAGCCAAATCTTTTTTTTTTCTTTTTCAAATCTTAGCTTTGGATTTTTCCGACATTCCGATCATCTCTCACCCTTAAATGCGCAAGGTGAAAATATCTTTACAACCATGAATCGTTAGTTTAAACCCAGTCTTCAAAATCCCTCAGAATGTTTCCCTTTAAACTATTCAGATTTTTAGCCGCTCCATACACCTAAGTCGAAAAAGCATGCAAAAATTAAGGTTGAGGTAAAATCGAGTGTATGCAAATGAAGCTTTCAGCTACAAAAGCAGATCGCGATATTGTACAATGAAAACAAAACATTTAAGTGTATCATTCAAGACACACGCGTAGATGGCTCTACAACAATTGTTTTTCTAGCCGCGGCACGTGTCTAAAGAATTGTGCCAAAAAAGGTTTCCTTCAACAAACTTGATCACCTCTGAATTTGATAAGGTGCATTTGGTCAAAGAGCTAAACATCTTTAGGTCGTGCCCTGATTTTATTGTTTTCTCTTTGCACGAGCCATTCTGCTATGTTGCCAGGATGTCTCAAGTTAGGGGTGTGGTTTTAATATGCACACATCGCCGTTGTTTTTTGCATGTCTTTAATAGACTCCATGAGATGTTTCTGGTCATAAAGACATTTCCTTTTCTATAATTTTACTCTCACAGCCGATATTAAATGCTTCGTTTAATGTTCGCTAGGTTTTTTGATCGGAACGTGCCTTACCAATTGCATGTTATCAAAGTGTAGACATCAGTTTGAGAACGTTGTTGAATATGCATTAGCGTCAACCGACACTTGTTTCTGTTGACATAATTTACTTATATCCCTTAGTTAAACTTATGAGAAATTCGTTGGAGAAATGAGATCTTTGAAAAATTTCTTATTCAGATCAGAAGTTACTTCATAACAAAACGGAGATTTGCGGAAAGCTAAAAAAAATATGGTATTGTTCTCTCCAAGTTTGTGTGACTCTATTAACTCTATACTGAAACCAACTATTTGAATTGTCCCTCCGCAAATATAAGTTTGGAAGCGCAATTGGCCTGTAAAATCAGCAAGGTTTGTTTCTTTCGAGTTGTGAACTCCGTCTTCTGTAACTGATAGTATTTGGATATCGCAAAATTGACTTTGTTCTATATATAGTTCACCGACATTTCTTAGGCGAATTCGTGACTAGGCAATCTTACCAAGTACTCGTATGACAAAAGGCTTGCAGAAACTTGACAGTTTAAAACTTTCTAATGACTTTCCATAATCTCTTATGAGTAAATTCGTGTAAAGGAAAGCTATGAAAGTTTCAAAGACTTATAAGACTTCAGGAATTTCTTCCTTGTTTAACACAATAGAATTAGAGTAATTTAAGAATAACAAGTTTCTTTCAGAATAACACAGGAAAAATAACCGATAATGACTTACCGCTGCCGCCGTTACATAAGATGGTATAAGCCCTTCTGTATGATAAGCAGAAGATGTTACTTTGCGGATGCTATAATAACCGATTCCCAGCAGACACCCAATGGAAAATATCGTAAATCCAAACACCGGTAATGCCACAAGTCGCTTTCCGCAGCACAGGCAACTATCGCTCTGCTTTGAGCCTCGGTGAATCACGACATCTTTAGTTCGAAGCAGTTTTTGGTCGGCGGAGTGCGATGTTGAAGGCGATCTTGAACTTTTCGCCGATGGCATGATCTAACTCCTTGCGATTTGCTGACCACGAGCGTGTAGATGCAAAATTGACGTTCCTACTTCCTTCGTAGTAAATTTTACTGAGTAATTAAAAAAAGGCGGGAAGTCGATTTTGTAAGCTTTTTCTCTCCAGATCTTGCTACTTTCGTCTTCGAAAACTTTACGTGGGATCCCTGTACGGTTGCAGAAAAGTTCAGCTCGATTTGTGTTGAAAATTCACGATTATACGGTTTCTGAGCGCCGTGTGCAAAGTTACGTATCACTGCAAAAGAGCTTTACGAATGTTTTGATAACCCAACCGAGAGCAGTCACTGTTGTTTCCAACGTATTCTTTGTGACGTTCGCTATTGTGTAAATTCATGAATGGACAGTGACACAGTTGAATGGACAGCACGAGGCGCCAATCTTGCTTATTAGCATAACAGTGGTCCACCGACTTAATTACACGCACAGAATGCCTATTCAGGCCAAGTTTAAACAGCTCTGCTTACAGGTGGCTCTGATCAGGGAATGAATCGGACAAAGAATCAGGTGTTTTTTCTGTAAGGCAAGATCACAAGTAGATCAAAGATTTCTGGTTGATTTTTGGTCACACGTTTCTTTCACACACCACTAGAAAAAGTAATCGAAAAAAATTAAATTTGATTAGACGTGCGCAAGAAAAATGAATCAACTCAACAGTAGACGGAATTCTTATTACTTTGATTTAAAGATACCATCTCGAAGCACCGTACTCAGCAGCTGAAAAGCCCTTTGCTAAAGCGTTATCCTAGAAGTTGCTTTTACGGCTAATTGCGGTTGTTTTTTATGGTTGATAATGCTCTTAGTACTAAACCGTCCAATTAACAGGTTTTTGTTTCTCCTTTACTCATAGTGTGGGTAGTTTTTAAAAATAACCCCATGCCGAATAATTTAGTTGCGGTGGGCATCTTCAAAATTGTTGAATTGTTTAATAATATCAGGAAATTGCCCGATATTGCTCGGGTGCTTTAAATGTTTAGGCAAATAATTATCAGGAGATGTTAATACTGACAAACCAGACGCGGAGGGCCGTGTTAATTAATTGCCCCATTTTCTAGGAAAATAGTTTGTATTTCGAAGCTAGAGTTTGTTTGCTCTCCGAGTATTGTTTTTTTCAAAGCGACGCTGTAAACGAAAAATGACATGAACGGATTAAATCTTTTTCTTTTTACTTATTGCAACACACATCTTCAAAACAGGCGGACGAACAAATGCGGTGAGGAACACTTCATTTTGAATAAAAATGCTCCAAAACAACTGTAAAAAAACCGCTAAGAATTAAAACAGCAGCTGCTTGTTTCTATCAAATTACATTAGTTTCTTAAGAAAAGAAAGCGTTTATGAGGTGTTAATGCTAAAAAAAAAAGACACGCGCTTTCTTTTTCCACCCAGGAGCATTATTTTTTTTCATTTTTTATGAGCTGTCTGGAACATATAGCAAAAAATCTGCGGTGCAAAAACAAAATGGTGGCTTCTTAAACAAACTGCACCCTAACTTTGCTAGTTATCTTGTTCTTGTTAATAAAGCAACGCTTCTGTTTAATAAGTTTCTTCTGAAGTGATGCGTTTAGTATCTACACGAATCTCACATTTAATTAAAGCATAGGCCGTTCGGGCTCTTCTTTTGGGACATTATCTTTCAGTCCACTCGCCATTTTTGCCGTCTACTCCGACACCATGAGTTCAATCACAGATAGCATCTTCTCACACCTCAAACCGTTGTTAAACTGTTCGTTGCTTATTTTGTCCTATTATTTTTCTTGGCAACTCAATAAGATTGTGACAGTTAATTTTGCGCGCTGACTGTATTGTTCGCGAATTCCTCGCACTAATGCGAGGGTGCCGGCGACGCCGAAAAAAGTACTGCTACTAATTGTCTTTTTATGTTTTGTTTCGATAATTTTCCTAACAGGATTGAGAGGTCGACTTTTTGTTTTGAAATCAAATGAACAAAAACAGACTCAGAGCATGTTCAACAAAAGTACGCTAAAGGATTGTTCAGGACTCAAATGTGTACATACAAAAATGAACGGTGCGCGTTCATATGAAAAATTCGAGGGCGCAAGGAATCACAAACAACTTGGTCTCCTGAAACACGCTCTAGCTTTTAATAATGAAAAACTTCGGACAACAGAAGTCAAAGAAAGCTCCTTAGCAATTAAAAACATTGTTTCTTGTTTCAGTCATTGTTTTTTATTGTGTCGTTATATCTTGTGATGAATATTAGGCTCACTTGGGATTACTCTAAACAGCGATGCGCGCGTAATTTTCAAATCGCTAATTGGTTCGGCAGAAGACAAAATCAGTGTAGTCAGTGCGAGCTAAACACGATTAAAAGCAATTTAATTAAATAGGTTTTAAAATACAGATTGTTTTTCACAGAAGTTTCTTGCTGATGTATGACGAGGCTCAAGTTAAACGACATTCTCAATACTCTAAAAGTGAGTTAACTTTTAAACGGTTTACGTTTTATGCCTGAACTCACTGATTCAGTTATTTTTGTTAAGCCTTATGGGTTTAAAAATACAGTAAGCTCGTTGGTTATTAAAAAGGTATGATAGTAGCCTGCGTGGCCAGCGCGAGGATTTCACTTACAGAATATTGCCGAAAAAAAGTGAAAACTGACTACTCAATCCATTTCATTTTTTTTTATTTTATTAGATTCGCCAATTATTGGCAGGGTCACCGCAACAGCATGACGCCAATTACTGCGGGCCCGTAACAGTCCCTTCCCCCATGAGAGATAGACCACCACATCGGGGACTACGTCCCCTACTCTTTACTAAAAGCGTGTGGGTTCTTTAACGTCCCACAGAATTTGTATATGAAGGGGTTGTCAGACGGGGCCTACGGTTTATTGTCCTTATCCGAGAAGACTAGAAAGTCTAACCGTTTGCAGATGTCTTTACAAAAGCAGCACTTTCTCCTCAGTTATTTAAAGACCCTGAGTGTTGGTCCGGCCGGGACTTGAACCAGCGGCCTCCCGCTCAGCAGACCGGCGCTTATCCAACTGAGCTAACCGGGCGGCGGTTTTATTAGTGACGAAGGAAAAGGAGGATCCTTAAGTTCTTATAAATAATTGATACATCAGTTATAATTGAACTATATCCCATCAGACTTACTTCAAATGTTTTGAAACAATGCAAGGTTCACGGTTAAAGCCGTTTTTAAGACTGTTTGCCTTTTTAACAAAAATATTCCTTTAATAGAATAATGGGTATAGCGTACAAAAATTAAATGTGAGGCTTTTCATTAACTAGTCGTTCGACAAGAATGAATTTGCGTGTCTAACCATATTATGCACGTAAAAAGAGAGAAATCTTATGTTCTGCACAATGCCGTCACAGTGAATCAGAGCATAAGTTGCTGACAAATTGCTTAGAAGGACTTCGACTGTTTAGCCGTTTATTAATAACAATTGGGTAGTGTCTGAATTTTTAAAGATAGCTTTTCTCGAGAAATACAAAAAGTTTTCGCTAGTTTCACTACTTTCCGCCTTAAAATTTCTTTCCCTCAAACTTGACTCTTTTCAAAGAAGGTTACTTTGCACATCTAGCGATGTGCAACTGACTCGCTTGTAGTAATTATACGGGCCACTATGGAGCTAATCAGATGCATCCAATGACTGTTTTCTGTAAAATATATTTTCGGAGAAGCAAATACTAGCTAGAATTTTCTATTAATAGAGGACAGCAAAAAAAATTCTAGATGACCGTTTCGTTCATTGACGCCACTTGCACAACTCCCATAATGCACCTTTAATTTGCCCTCCAAAAATTTTGCGTAAGCTTCTTTTCCAATTTCTCTTGGGACGGCTGTTATACCCAGGAGAAACGAAAAACAAAGGTTATGCAAAATTTGGGGAAGCAAATAAGGGGCATTATGGGAGATGTGCAAGTGGTGTTTGTACAATTTTCGCAGCTTATCATGTAATAAACTCTCTCCGATTTTCTGAAGTTTGATTTTCACATTTCATTTCCCAAGTTAGGCTCCTTTTTGTAGAAAAAAAGAAAAACTAAAATTTTCGCGTTTAAAAATGCGACGGAGGGAGAGATCAGAAAATTTCTCACTTTCATAATACGTCAAATTGCAACAAAAATTTTCGGGAAAATAATACTCAAGCCCTTGTATTTTCGAAAAGACTCAAGTTTCCTAGGATAACAGAACAGATACAAATTTTATAGCGCCGCTTAAAATGCATTTCTCGAGATCTAAAAGTACTCTGGATAGCCTAAAAATGTTTTTTTTTTATGTATTTAGGAGGAAACCGTCGTTGGGTGCCCCTGGCTAATGTTATTTTCCGCGACAGCATTCGTTCTGTTTATTTGCTGTTGGATGATCAGCTGGGTTTGCTTTGTGTTAGCTTAGCTAACATTATCACAGGTTGAATAATCGATATATGATAATCATATATTAGAACTGCGAGATGAAGAATTAAACGTAGAGAAGAGAAGATCATGGACAAATCAGGCTTGTAAGGGGAACCGAACCTTGAGCGGTGTTTAAATCCCGCGCAGGAAGACTTTTTTCCGGTTTTCTTTTTGTTACTGCAAAAGCTACGCCCCCAACTAAATTGCGGTGATCTTCTCAACGTTTAATTATGATAAGTGATTGAAATCTTATTAGGGATAATTAAACAATTGATTGGCTAATTTTCATTGTGCTATGCGTACACTGTGAAAAAATAAAGCTGATCGCTGTTTTGCCAGGTTTGTTATGCTTACAATTTGTACCAGTCAAGCTGCTTGAATAAAAAGTACCGGCAACACAAGTTTTCTAGAACATCTGATCAAGTTAGCGTGATCAAAGCAGGTACCGCAGTATCTTGCAATTCGGCATGTGATCATCCACTATGCGCCGAGCAGGTACTGCAGTGCTCACGTGCTCGAAAGTTCAAAATAAAGATTTTTAGGGGCGGGCCTTTTCGATCGCTGCAAAAGAGCTGTGGTCATATTAAACATGAGGGAACAGTACTGAAGTCCTACAATGTAAGTCTGCTGAAAGCCAAGCTACTACACATGTGGGATTGTCGCCTTTCCTCCGAGGATTTCTTTTTTATCACCCTCTTTTTTCTCTTTAACTCTTTCACTGCCAAATTTAGCCGAAAGCAAATTTCGACCAAATTTCCAAATTTCATTTTGTGAAATTTTGAAAAACAAATAGCACCATGTGTAAGTACAGGCAGAGAGCTTTCATTTGAATGGTCACATCATAGGATTTTGGCCGCAGAATCAAAAGTTAGAGTCACCTTATAGAACTCCATCAAACACTCTAGCAGTGAAAGGGTTAAAGAGTAGAAAATAAAAAAATGCACAGCAATAATTAATTAATTAATGCTGAAAGCAAAAATCTCCCTGACTATGGCGTTCGCTTCTAGAACCCTTTTTAAAACATTTTTTAGAGGTCTGACTGATCACAGAATCGAGGGAATACATTAAAATACACGCAATATTTGACAACTTTCAGGGGCGTAGCGGGAGCAGATTTTGAAGTTGTACGTACGAAAAGAAAAGTTAAGGCGAATAAGGCGCACCAAACTAAAAACTGCTCCAAAACTCGTAACGATTCTTTGCCATTTATCAGAAGCTATTAAAACAAGATTGAGCGAGCCAAACACTACCTGACTTGGCTAATACGCACAATTTCAGGACATTTGTGCGTGTGTGAGAGACTAGAAAAAAAACGTACAAGCCACAGAATAGGGAGTTTAAGGTACCACATCGGTGACAGCAGCAAAAACGAGTGAACTCGGCGATTATTTCAGTTTACTTCCTACTTCAGTTGTCAAAAGAAGGCAGATTGTCCTCGAGATGAATTCTTGGGAATCACATCCGAGTTCAGAAAAAGAAAGAAAATTTCGTCGTATCTTGTTTACGTCACAGTATCAAAAAAAGTGCCGCACTGACATGCAAAGTTGTCGTTTTGCTAATCTATGACTACTGCTTTTTTGACGTTCTCCTTGCCGTCACCGTCCTGGCATCTTAAACTGATTCCCTAAATATAGAGAGCCAAAAGACAGATGTTTCAGCTTGTTTACTTGCTGCATTGCCCTCATTTAATCTTTGAGCGTTAGTTGTTATTAAAGCACATGTTCCGAATGAATAAAACCACCAGTTTACACGATCTGCGTCTGTGCACTTTTATCCGTTTTTCTACATACGGAAAAACAAGAAGAACCCCTCCCGTGAAAAATCTTCCTCCACGTGCCTTCATCTGATTTATTAAGCTCGCTCTTAAATAAAGGTACCCGTTATGGCAAAGATTTTTCTACTTTCCCACGCTTTTTAACAGTGGTACCTGATCTATACACAGATACGTTCATCTGAACAATCGGTTTTAAACTAAAGGCTAACCAAACAGTGTTTTTTCTCTTTTGCCCCCAGTGTAGCTTGCCTAAAAACTTGTTTATAAACATACAGATAAAGGTCAACCACAAATTTCTTGTCAATTTGCGTATTCTTATCTTTTTGTTTGTAGAAACAAAGAGGGAAAATCCAATAGTTTGTAGAAAGTATCTGTTTTAGTTCTATATATTTTCCTTAAGGAAGAAGGAATTTTTTTGGCGCCTTGCATTTAAAAATCGTATCTTCGGTGGTCCGAGAATCATTACCTGTTACCACAGAGGGTTTTTTTCTGGCGTTCCCACGCTTGTTCACAGTGGTACCTGATCAAAAACAGCTGAGATCGTACGTATGATCAACCTGTCATTCAACTAATAACCTTTCCTGCTGAATTTGTTTTCGTTGATGTAGTCCCAGTAAACGCGTGCCCTCTGAAGCAATTTCAATGCAACATCTTACTATAATGTACGCAGCTCTTCAAATTCACTTGCGATATTTTGTAAACAATAATTTATGGTTTCCGGGACGTCGATACACTCCATTTGGTCAGAATACTCAAGCCCAAAGCATTAACTAACATAAATTAATGCATACAGTGATTCATGTTGCTAGTTTCTGTTTGACTTTTAGCTTTTGACACGCTAGGATGGACTATCGATCATGCATTTGAAGGAAGTGGTTTTAAAAGCAAGGTGATAAGAATTGCTCCAAGTTTTTATCAAAATTTTAGCAATCAGGAAATCTCAACAATTGTAGGGAGATAGCATTAATTAATCACAAAACAAAAACTAGCCCTATAGCTAGTTAGAACTGAAGTTCGTCTTACTACATTTTTGTTTCAACTCAACAATCATGTATTTAAAATTGTAAAATAACTGAGCGAATCCTCGCGCGCTGATTGGTCGAGAGCTATGGTCTAAGAGAGTACAGACCATGGAAGTGACGTAACATGCCAAGAAGTGCCGGTTGTTTTTTTTTTGGTTTTTCGTAAAAAAATAAACGTTATTGTAAAAAACAAATCGACCACAATTTTCCATGGTCTACTTGTTCACTAAACTGGCTCATGAAATGCCTGAGGGTCAATTAGTCAATTAAGTCTATTTTTTGTACTAAAAAAAGTTAGGTTAAATTGCAAATTGTAAATTAGTAAATTAACCAAACGGAGCCAAAAATGCAGAGTCTATCTATCACTGCTGAAGCAATGTTTCCAAATGTTTCACTACCATTACATTATTTTAGTCACTGAACTTGATATTACGCCTTCGTAGTGATCACACACAGAGATGTGGGTTATCTTAACAGACGATTTTATTGAATTGCCCGCCTTGGTGAGAAACATAACTCCGAGCTGCGCAAAGCAACTTGAGCTCACTTTCTTATGGCGTCAGATCGGGGACAAAATCGATACTCAGATTTCGTGGCCTTGGTGCCCTTGCTGACCTAGTCTGCTACACAGCCGTTTTTAGTGTCGTCACGCAACGCTCCTCCCCACAGAGGGAGGTGCGTTGCGTGACGACACTAAAAACGACTTTGTAGCAGACTGTTGCTGACCTGGGGGAAAGTATCACATAGACAATAAAACAGATGGGAATTGGCAGTCGGGTTTTGTACAGAGAAAAAAAATCAAAATCAAAACGGGCATCCAGGTGATAAATACTCCCCAGGGTAGGCCAAAGGTTTGATCACGTGACATATATAGTAAACTTGGCGGAGGGGAACTTGAACGAGCGGGGAAGAAAAGCCTGTCGCTAATCCGTCGCTAATTGCATTTATGGCGGAGCGGTTGCTCTCCTGTTGTGAAGTCTTCGAAAATTTAAACTTAACTGAGGTAAGTTTTATTTTTTCCATACATATTTGGTGACTAGAATGCAAGACATCCTTGCAGCACAGAGTTATGAAGACCGTACGAACTCAAAAACGATCAAGTGGAGAAGTGCTTTCACATTATAAAGTTGAAATTCGGCGTTGCAAGTTATGTGTTGTCAGATGCAGTGTTTCTGTGAGGCCCGAAAAAGACTGTGAACTTTTCAGTGGTTCTTTCTTTCGTTTATTCTTTGGTCTCAGTTCACTGGCAAAAGCAGTTGTCTTAAACAAAATGGTCTAGCTGCCACACATTTCTGATTAATATTAGATGTACTGTGTGATTGTTAGCTTCAACATATCATCAGCGAATGACAAAGCTCTGCAATATTATTACATTTGTAAAATGTTAACTGGCTACTATATATGTACGTAATGAGGCTGAAAAATGTGATGATGATGATTTTAGGTATATATCCCAAATTTCATTCAGAACAAATTTACTAACTTTTTTTCTGTTGCTGGTCAAGATGGACTTAGATATTGGAGGGATAGTCAAGGATATACCAATCACTTGGAGAAACTCTGATCTCTGGTTAGCTGCTGCTTGTATCATGTTCAATCCTTTGTTTTGGAATGCTGTAAGCATCAAACTACGTTTTTAGTTTCTACTTTGTAATATTTTTACAGTAGAACCCTACCTGTAAATCTTAGTTAATTAGGATCCTAGAAGAGGGGGTGGGTTGCACTGCTATATATGGGCTATATTAAAGCATGTGCCAGCTTGAAAGGTAGGGTATTAAAGCAGTAAACCCTTAAAATCCAAGTTCTCCTTTCTTGCCCCATATATTTCTTCTAAAAGTAGTGGGGAGAAGTTGTAAAAATATCATGAGAATTAATCCCGAGTGATAATATCCTTAACTTGCCATGATAAGAAAAATTTCTTTGATTTTTGACCAGTGCTATAAATAATATCCATTACAACCATGAAGGTGCATTTTTCCTTTTTGTTGAAGTTGATATGTTATGCTGATCAGTGAGTAACTTAAGTGCTTTTTAATGAACAGGTTGCTCGCTGGGAATATAGAACCCATTCCCTGACACATTGCTGTGGCTCTGCCAAAAGAGGATGTTATTTGCTAGCTGCTGTTATTGTCCTACTTGGGCTGTTCAGAGACTACAGGTAAAACAGATTACAAGTATAACTCATGGATATTATTTCCAACATTGTTTAGTTTCAAATGCCCTTGCATTGGTATATAGCTGAAAGGGGAAGGCCTGACACTTAACTTGAAGAAAAGCAATCCTTTCAAAATTTGACGTTTCAACAACAATATGTCACTATTATCAATGCCAAAAAAAAAGTTATGCTTGCTTATAAGCTTTAATTATTTAATTATTTTCCTGATGGGTTGTCCTGGGGTAAGCTAGAGTTCACTGATAAAGTTATGCTGGATAGGGGACAGAGGTATGAATACATATTGAAGTTACCTCACCCGGAGTAGTCTTACACAGTCTTTGATGAAGTAGCTATTATAATCCTTAAAAACGTATAAATTGGAAACTTGTGTGTTTTTCTTATTCGTCTTCTCAGCCAGTAATTTTTTCTTGAATTTGTTTTTCTAATTCTGTTGGACAGGTTTGAGAAGGCAATTTCAAGCCAGCCCATAGCAGATGTTCTGTGCACTGATCATGTTCAAATTTGTGGCTCTTTACTGATTCTAACCGGCACAGTTCTTGTTCTTAGTAGTTTCTTGTCCCTTGGCATTCTGGGAACATTTCTAGGTGTGATAAATATTGTTTCTCTTTCAATTTATTTCATTACTTTTCCTGTACCTATCCAAAGAAGTTTATTGTAAAAAGCATCGAACTACACTAAGTGTGGTTCCAGTTTCACTGATGTAAAGCTTCCGAGTTATGTACCAAATGTAACCAACTCAACTTTGCTTGCTTTCTGTACAATTGTCCCTCGATAATGAAAGCAGTTAGTCTGCCATCAGTCATCAACATGTCCTAGTGCTCACCTTACCACTGGTCAATAGCTTCAACTCAAATTGCTGTTAGAGTAATAAATAATAAAGACTTTAATTTATTAATGTGTCAAAAGCCTTAAAGCTTGCATGGAGTGTAAACTAATTGTAGACTCCTTCATTTTCTAGCTTCATTTCCTGTCTTATAAACAAATTTACCACTATTTTTGACTAAGCAGCAGTATATGGCTCAGCTGCTAGCTGCCATGTAGCCACTGGCTTTTGAGTGGCTAAGTTTTCTGCAATTAAGCCAGGGTTGGCCAAAGGTAAAAGCTTTAAAATATTGATGCATAGAGGACTGTCCCAAAGACAGCTGTTCCATTGAAAAATATTTCAGTTATTGTCAAACTTACCAGATCAATTTTAATGTAAATGGATAAATTCATATTTACTGAGGATGGATGGGACTTAATTGATTTATGCCATTGAATCCAGTTGATAGAATTTTACATTAACAAATATTAATGTCAGTCATGAGTAATGCAATGAAACAGTTATTTGCTCAATCAGTTACCAATATATTGGCTTAGTTCCGTCTTATAAACCTATGTAGCTTGGTAAGTTTTTTCTTTCCTTTTTGCAGGTGATTATTTTGGAATCCTTTTATACCAAAAAGTGACAGGTTTTCCCTTCAGCGTCATGGACAATCCCATGTACTGGGGATCAACTATGAACTTTCTAGGATATTCATTAAGGTAAAAAAATTGCTTTAATGAGCTTTAATATTAACTATATTTGCATGCACCACATGCCTCAAATAGCTTTGGTAGCCAAAGAGAGTCCTTGTTGTCAAAATTTGTAATAATTACATGTATGTACCACTAAAGTTTTGTTGCTGTTGTTGTAATATCAGCATAAATAGCTCGGACAATGTTCACTTTTTAATATTAATTTTGCATTGTTATTCTAAATTCTACCAAATGAACAGCTAAAATTGTGAAATAAACTGTTGGAGTTCAGATCATAACATATTCATTGGGTGGCCTGGTAAAGCAGTTGGCCTTGTGTCCCTCATTCTTTGTTACTAAAATTTTTAGACTTTCTAGTCTTCTCGGATAAGGACGAAAACCAGATGTCCCATCTTAGAGCACTTTCTCATCCGATTCTTGTGGGACGTAAAAGAACCCACATACACCACTGTTTGAAAGGAGTGGGGGGTGTAGACCCCGGTGGTGTGGTCAACCTTTCCTGAGCTGGGTGGGTTATCTGTAAGGAAAGATCTTTATATCAGAGAGGGATAACCTCATGATCCTCCTTCTTTGGCTAACTGTAAACAGTGTATGTTTATTCATCCAAATTATGGTTGTTTCAGGCAGTGCAGTCCTACTGGATTAGCTTTAACAGCACTGGTGGCAGTATGTTATAAGATAGCCCTTCTCTTTGAAGAGTAAGTTTGTAACAGTCTCATTAAAATTTTTATTAACCAGGGCTGTATACTTATTCGTGTGCCAAACCTAACTGAATGCCTAATTAGGCCATTTTTATGATGAGGTGATTTTACCACCTTAGAAAATTCTTAATTATTTTACTTTTTTGCGTAAATAATAAATATTGTTGTTCAAACCCCACTGGGAAATTTTATTAAATTTTGAAAACCCTGCACTCTGAGGCCCTTTGAATTTCAAAACCCTTTGTTTCATATATATTGAGAAGAAAGCTGCCGCTGCATTTTACTATTGTATTTGCAATTCTTGGTTGTTGTCATAGTTTTAACCCATCTTACTTTGTACTATGTGTCGAAGCCGACTTGTGTAGCCACCTTCCTGTTATGACCGCACGTAGTGAATGGCCTTATTTATTTTGTGATAAGAAAACCCTGTTAATGAGGCCTTCAAAGGGGTAGAAGCAATAGGTAACATTGCCCCGAAAACCGGCAAAATCCTCTCAGAAAGCACCAACAATCGACAGAAAAAGAGGAAAGAATTGTGACAGCAACAACAAAGTCTCTTCCATTATTTCCAAACATTTCCCGTTATTTTTTTTGGATCGTTTCCTAATTATGGTATTGCTCAAGAACGGTCCCTCGAGAGACAGATTCTTAATTCTGTTCAGGTTCTATATCTGCTGTAAATTCCAAATTGAGTATCTCAAAAATTCTTTCTGAACAGACAGCAACATTTTCTTCCTAGCGGAAATGCAACAGCAACATTTTTTTCCTAACCTACCAGGCAAAGGGCAGCCTCAGAAATGACCGACAATATGACAGTATACCCCATACCCCCCCCCCCACCCCGGAAGGAATCGTTAATGCAGCCACCTTGTAAATTTGGCCAATGTACAACCATTCTACAAAGTCCTCTTTCGTTCAAGTTCAAGTTTATTTCAGATTATTTTGATGCAATCATCCAGGCATGAAAGTTATTAGGTGTACATTCAGTCTTATTTCTTTAATAGTTTTTACTGTTTGTCAAATTTCATACTTTCTGACTTATTTTTTTTGTACTTCTAGGCCTTTTACTAAAAGAATTTATGAAGAAAAGAAGATGAGAGAGAAAAAAGTGGATTGAAATGTCTCTAAAATGAAAATCCCCACCTTAATTTCTTTTAAGCCACAAGTGTACCATTAAGTTTATATAGCTAGAAAAGGCATGATGAAGATCAAAATAATATATCGAACTGATTGAAAATTACAGCTATTCAAAGTTCTTAAAAAGGCAACACATAATAATTATGAATAATGTATAAATCTTATAATTCTATATACAATAAGTCATTGAAATTAAAATCTCTGTTGAAAGCCCATCTCAGATTTATTTGTCTTCAAGAGCTCAATTATCACCATCAACATCATAATCAGCTAAGCTCATATCTTGAGCTGCCCTTGTTGCATGTTTTGAGTTTATTTTAAAACACTCTACAAAGGGCTGATTATACTGTTCAGCACTGATAAATCAATCTTGGGCATCCTTTCTTTCTCTTCCCACAAACTCATTCCCTGCCGAACAGTTTTTTCAATGTTGAAGGACATTATACTCTTTTCCTAAAGAGGAAATCTAATATTTTATTCCAAAGCTTACTGGGCAGCCACATCTTGACACAAATAGCACAGAAAAAAATAACGGATTCCCATTTTTGATATTTTAGGGTATTTAAAGAATACCCACAAAAATCCCAAATTTGGAAGAGTGAGACAAGTCCCAATCAGGGATCTTGGTTGGGAATTCCCTGGTTGGGACTTGTCTCGCCTTTGCCAAAAGTGGGATTTTTATGGGTACTCTTTAAATACCCTAAAATATCCAAAAATAGGAATCTGTTATTTTTTCCCGTGTACCCTTCTAGAACTCCAACTTCCCGCTTTTTTTCTCTCCTGTCTCCCATACCTCTTTATACACAATGTTTTCCTGGGCTCTCACCCCCTGTCCTCCACCACAACGTTCTTGAAAGGAAAATTTCAAAGGTCAACATTTTCAAGCTTCTTCCTGTTTTATCTATTTCTAATTACTTTTAGATTGTTTTCACTTATATTTTTGCTTAATTGAATCCAAATCCAAGCCAAGTGTTGGCTACAAAATGTTAAACCCCTGAAACAGTAAAAGGTAGTTGACAAGGGTAGTTCTTGGATTCCCCCTATAATAACAAAATAATATTTTGTTGCAGTGTTAGGTGCCAGGATTATCTGAAAAGCAGAGTGATGACTCTTTCACCCTTCCCCCTTTTTCCTCCCTTTAAAAAATACCACTTAAACAAATTAATCCTGGATATAGATTAGGAAATTTTGCTGAATACTGTAAATGATTATACAGCCTCCTTCCCACTGTTGTGTTAAACTGAGTGCTAATTTTGCACATATCAATGCAATGTTAATTAACATGGGTCACTGGCATCTGTTTGCTGGATCTTTATAGAACGGACACTGTACATGTCAAACCACATTGTACTTCAAGTGTATTGAAACAAACTTTAAAACTAAGCAGTTGATCAGCCTGAAAAAGACAACTGAAGAAACTGCAGCAGGGATGAGGGAAGAAAAAACATTTTTTAAATATTTGAAGTAGCACAATCCTTTTCCTGCTATCAGACTTTTCCTTGTGGTTTGGGTAAAGATGCAGAGAGATATGATCGGGAGAGGGTCAGGCTATTCGAGAGTAATACGATTGAAATAATTCAAAGTGGGCAGACTGCAAATTATAGTAGTTGCTAAAAAATATAAGACCTTCATCATTTTTTTTAATACTTCCGCTCCCCTACCGGAAGTACCGAAAAGAGCACCAAAGGGGGCGGGCCCTTAGAAGTCACGTGTCAGTCGGCGGGAATATTTTGAATCGAAAATAACATCATCTGATTGGCTTCTCCTGTGGAGTGTGTGACGTCAACGGCTCGCGGACTGTTCGCTTGCGAGCGAAAAGAAGTCAAGGGAACGTTTACGACTGAGTCTTCTGTATAATCCTTAAAATTTTCGGCCATCCTTGGGTTTTCGAAGTGGAGGTGCCTTCATCTTGACTAGGGAAAACACTAAATGTAAGTTGAATCGCATCATTGTAGTGTTATTCTGTTTTCTTTTTCATGACACTGTCGTTTTGCACCATAGTCTGTTATGTTTTTCAGTGCATGACAGTTTGTGGATTACAAGCCACAGTAAATCGTTTTCCTGCAGGTTTCGGCGTATGCATTTATGTAGAACATATATCCTTAGCGAAGGCCCTGTTAAGCTAAAACAGAGACTTGAAAAAAGGCATAAACATCAATGTTTACGACCTGATCGTGTGGGAGTGTGCAGTATAATTATATTACATGAATGGAAAAGAATTTCGATTCCTTTGCGTTATATTCCTGCTGCTGTTATCGACTTGCCTCCATTTTCCCCCTTAGTTTTAAGTAAACATGGATAGAGAAGGTTTATGCTTTTCAGTGCTTTAAAAAGGACACGAAACTTGCAAGTGCGTCGATCTGCTTGAGCCTCGGAATTCCATTTCCTGTCGGCAGTGTCAGTGAGTGGATTTGTAGTTTCGCGCCGACTTAATCGGTTGTACTACGCTAGTGTTCCAATCCTTTCCTATTTTCTAGCTAGCAGATAAAAGACATTGTTTGTGTTTTGTATTTTCAGTCTCCTTTTGCTTTGCTTTTTTGGTTTAGGCTC